TTACATAAAAATAAATTTCTTACAAAAATTTAATAAAATCTCAACTAAAACTTATTATGGAAAAAATTTATTATTTCAATTGTACAAGATATTAAATTTATATTTTTAATATATTTTTTATAATTACATGGATTTCTATAAAATTAGAATAAAATCTAACTGAAAAATCATTATTTTGTTTGTGCGCGGGACAATTGAAAAAATAAAATTGAAAAACTGAAAATATAAATTGAAAAAAAAAAATTGTGTGATGCTTCATAAGCACAAATATTATACAGGGTGTTTCTCATAAGGTAGCAAATAATTTAAGAGATCATCCTTTGATGAAATTCCAGCAAGAAATCGTCCGGGAAGGGCTTCATATATACCCTTTGCCTTTGAATCCTGTTGAGAAAAAATATCTATCTTTGAAATAAGTAAAAACTTGTAACTTCGGAGCCATGTGACATAGAGTATCCATCGGCTGCGTGTTTTACAGGTTGCTCTTTATTCTTCTGCTTTTCGGTCTTACATTCGCTTAGATTTGAATCATAATTTTCGAGATTAAGCCCTTCAAGGTCAGGATTTTTGTTTTTTTTTTTAATTTGTTTTAAAAAACTTCAAATTTCTCGAAAATTTGTGTTATATTTTTTTGCTTTTGCTGCTAGGTTGTAGCTCGAAAACGAGAGTATCTGTCCCTCACCTGTCCATATTACTTTTTGCTAAAAATTGATCAACGAATCATCCCTGAAATTATTTACCACCTTATGAGAAACATTCTGTACATATGTATATATATACATACGATACGATATACATATTTACATTTATATGAAATAAATCGAAAAATTGTTAAAGCAAACGAACTATATTTAGAAATTCAAGAATTCAAAATAATTCAAAAGTACTCCGTTAAATGGAGATGGACTTTTATTTAGATCATTTAAACATAAAAAATAACTTATTTTCATCCTTCATTCTCCATTTTTAAAGTAACTTTGTAATTCTTGTTCTTATGATTTTTGTATTGTTGTTGTTGTTTTGTGCTCGTCACAGGATATTTTTAATATTATTCTGAAGAGAACTTGCTTTTATTTTTTTTTATTTACTGCTAAATTGATTTTTAAAGGCAAAATGAAGTGGAAATTTTTTTTTAGAAATGAAGAATTTTTTGTTTTCATAAATCTTTTTAGTACTTGTCTTTTTCTTGTGCTTTTTTTTTTTTATAAAAATGTCTATTAAAATAAAGAATTGGAATTTTTTTTTTTTCTGTTTTGTTGTTAGAAGCAAACAGACAAACAGTTTAGTAATGAAAACCAAAGCAGAAAAAAAAAAAAATAAATAAAATAAAAATTGAAATTGATTTTCAACTTTTTTTTTCTCTCTCTCTCTCTCCCTCCGTCTTTGTTACATTCCACAGTTTTCTCTTTTAATATTGGGGCAGTCAATAAGTTACAAATTCTTTAAATTTTACTCTCCCGTGATTTGCAGGATGAAAAAATGACATTAGAATTGAATTAGAATGGTGACTGCCTTTATTGGACTGTTTCAGAACTAAATTGCAAGTATATGAATTGCTGTAAGAATGTGTACTTTAAAGAGTAAATTACGACTGCTGACGGAATCAAGAATACATAGATTCAAGAGAATTCGACACTTCCATTCACATATCGGATTTTTCAATTTATTCAAATATTTTTGCATTCTTTCCAATTAGTTGCTTTGAAATTTTAATTATTTAATGACCAAATGAAATTTGTAATATAAAAACCTACCAAAATCGAGAAACTTACGACATTGCGTCTTCTAAATTTTTTTAATTTTGTGCCTCATGCAATGCTAATTTTTGAATAAATATAAAAAAAAAAAATTCTTAAAGTTTCAATAATATTTTAACAGATAATTTGCACAAAAAGAAATTTTGACACTTGTTGAATTATTTTTGTCCTACAAAATTTTACAAAAACAAAAAATTAATAAAAAAAAATAACAATATAAAAGCATTACAGACATTTTTAATTTAAAAAACAAAAAATTTTTTTTTGTCTGGTCCTAAAAATTTCACTTTTATATTATTTGCACAAAATTCAAATTGCATTTTATATTATTGAAGATCAAGAATCATAAAAAAATGTTCATGGTTTCAATTGTTCTCATCCTTTTTGTATTCTTGTTGTTATTGGAAATATTAAAACCATAAGAATTTATTCACTCGATTTACTTGAGAAATGTGTAATGAATAATTTGATTTTAATATTAGAAACGACTAAAAAAAAATTCAATTTAAATTTTTGAATAATATCAAATAATTGAAAAAGAAATTAAAATTTGCCAAATATTTAAATATAAATTACAAGAATATTGATTTTCGGTAATTAATTTTAAGATTTATTAAAAAAGTTAAAAAATTTTAAGGAAAAAAACATAGAATTAATGACAATATTGAAGAGAGCATTCCATACCTTAAAATACACAATGTAACCTGATTTAAAGTCATGTAATCAAGTAAGTAGTTAAAAAATTTTCTACAAGGACTCATTTAAAGTCAATGTAAATTTGTAATAAACACATTGTACATTAGTAATCCAAATACACCACAACGAATATTAAAATTAGAATAAATGAATGAAGGCTTTTGGAAAATTTTCTCCAAAAATAATTTTATATACAAGTTACATATAAGATCTATATTCGTTAAAGGATAATTTAAAAAATAATTAATATCAATGACCTCTGGTTAAAAATTAATTGAAAAGAGAAAAAAAGATAAAATGCTTTTAAAGGAATGTAATTTTTCTTTCAATCATTAATAACATGAAGGAAAACTTATCCTTTTCAGGATTTCCTTAAATGATTTATTTGTTATTTATTTATTGTTAAAATATTTTCAGTTTTATTGTAGAATATTAGGCTATTTCCTTATTGTGAAGATCAAAAAATTTAATTTAAAAATTTTTAATTTTTCTATTTTACAAAATTTTGTATCCGTAAAGTAAATTCATACTGTTTATTTGCAATATATGTACAAGTAAACAGTGAGTGGGCACTATGATTTAATACAAAATACTGAGAAATTATTTTAATGTTATAAAAATTCATAATAAATAATTGAGGGAGAACAAAAACATTGCGATCAAAGACAAATTCGATCTTTAAGAGTACAAAACAGAATCAAACCGGAAAACGAAAACTGCGAACAATTTCCGTTTGTTAACCTAGAATAACAACGGAATAGCAAAATTAACTTACAAAATTTTGTAACAGCTGTACACAGCTGAAACAGCTGTAATTTCGCTTCATTTTGGAAATTTATACAAGTATATGAGTATTCTTATGAATTTTGACATTTCGTTGCGAAAAATCGTTCTTGTTCTATTTTCATTTTAATATCTAAGAGAAAGAAGTTATTGGAAAGAACGTATAACTATGTGTAAATAAAATGAATTGAAAAAGGAAAGAGCATATACACAATTAAATACAATACGTACAAGAGAGACCGAGAATATAGCACGATTAAGAGAAAAATAAAAATATTTTTAATTATGGTTATATTCTAGCTTTAAAACTCATAAAGTTCATAATTCTTTAATAAGTATAGAGAGATAACATGTAGAGAGAAAAGTGTAGAGCTGATCTTTTTTATTATTAATATTTATTTATTTCGTAATTTGGTTGTGAATTTGTAAATTTGAAGCCGATTCATCCAACTTGTCTGTTAAAAGATAATTTTAGACTATTTTGAGAGTTCTATGAATAAATATTAACTAAGTTCGTGTAAAACTAATAGTTTTTTGAAGTAGCAATTATTTCAATATATGAAAATACTTTATCTTCTAAAATTATTCTCAATAATCAGTATAATTGTATACTGTACGAGTATAATTATTGCATACCCTTCGGATGAGAACAACATAATTTTAAATTTTATTCATATTTAAAAATAAATTTACATACTATTGCTACTAAGATGTTACTAAAAATACCTTCTATTTCATACTCGTATTTCAATTAATTTTAATTTGAAAATAATAAAATATTCTAAAAAATTTTAAGTAATTCTCGTAAAAACTTTATTTTCACAATCTTCAAAATTTTTTTTCATATTATTTTAAGAGCAATTCTTATAAAATGGAAATTCAATAGAATAAATTTCATATAGAATGATTTTTAAGAAATTATCCAGAAAAATACTTGATATACTTACGAGTACAAAGTCAAATATATACAATTGTACTTTAAAGGAAATTCACCCGGCAAGTATAAAGAGAGTAAATTTAGTTTTATTATATCCGATTATTTTTAGTTATTTCTTAATTAATTTTAAAATTAATTCAATATTTTAAATAAAAATCTAAATAAAAAATATTTTGAATATATTGGAACCCATAATATTTTGGGAAGATTTAAAAATAAATAAAAACAAAGCAAACCTATTTGTTAAATTAAAAATTTTTTTTATTCCAAAAAAATTTTATTCCCTCAATTTCAGTATACGAACTATAAAGATTTATGGGTATTTGAATATAATGGAGTGAGTTTCTTTAATTCCATGGCATTTTTTGTTCTGTTTAGTTTTTAAATGAGCTAAGAAATTTAACGAAATTATATAGATAATTGGATCCTATTTCATCCTTAACGGATTTCCATTAATTTAATAAGTCTAATATGAAGAATAATACTTTTTTTTTTATTTCTCTAGATATTTGTGTGAAGAATTGTGTTATATATAAATATAAATACTCAAATATAACAATTTATTTTAGTACTTTTGTTATTTTAAATCATCAGACCCTTTTAAATAATCAAAAAACAAGAAAAGGAGAAGAAGAACAGAAGAACAATACAAAATTGTTTTCTCTTTTCTCATTTTTTTTCAACTGACTTTTTCTTTTATCCTGTTTTATATCCTTGCAGCTTTTAAGCATATAAATGTGGACTTTATATTGTATACACACATACACACATATTTGAATAACAATAAATTAATAAAAAATTTTTTTTTTTTCTTATTTTCTTTTTAGACGGAGCAATTTACAGTTCTTTGGATTCTATTTATTGTTATTGTATTAGGTAATACAGCAGTATTGTTTACATTATTTATGAATAAAAACCGTAAATCAAGGATGAATTTCTTTATAAAACAATTGGCCATAGCTGGTAAGTTTAATAATACCACATAACACATTTTAAATAATAATTAAGAAGTTTGAAAAAAAAAAAAATGAAATTATTTTAAAGATTTTTTTTGTTTTTTTTTCTAATTTAAATAAAAATTTATTTACTCAGTTAGGAAGAAGGTGGAGATGACGTTGATTTTGGGTGCAGTTTATTGTTTATTCTAGCAGATTTTCTTTTCCTTTCATTTTTATATTCATTTTTTTATAATACTTTGAAATTCAAGCACTTAAATAAAGTGAAGTGTTGCTTTTTTGTATTAAAAGAAAATTAATCATCTAAATCATATTATCATTTTATAAAAAAAAAACAAAATAACAAAAAGAAAATGAGTAGGAATGTAGAGAAAAAATAAGCGCAGAAAAAATGGAAATTAAGATTGATTAAGGACGCATTAAAAGATATAAATTGAAAATTATTTTAATATTAAAATGCGATTTTTTAAAAAGTCTTCCAAAATAATTTATTTATATCGTTTTATTCTTATGCATATACACGCTCAGAATGACAACAGATTTGGGTATCAACATGCTGTATACCAATATATACTCGGTTATATTTGGTTTTCTAAACCGAATAATCCGCGAAAATATTTCTAATTTTAAATTGAATGTCATGAATACACGTGCGAAATTCCTAAATGTAGTTAGTTATATAATTAAATTAAATTGGCATTTTTAAAATTTGTAAAATTTATTTTTAGTTTATTAAAGTATTTTTGCTCATTAGAGATGACCACATCAGCTTTTTCACTAATTACATTTTGGTTTCCCTCAAATCGAGATTCGGGAACTAAATTAAAATTCTGGTAATTGAAATTCGATTTCATTTACAATTCCGACAATTAAAATGATGAAATAATTGAGTAAGACTGATATACAATTCTATTTTTGACACCTTATATTTCCGAAACTGCAAGTTTTTCCAAAATTTCAATAAAGACAAATAGCTGACGATAAATGCTATGCCATTAAAAAATATAATTTTTTTTCAAACTCACACAATTAAAGGGTCAATAATTCAAGAGTTATGCTGATGGCTCTTTTAATTTTTTTTTTTTTGCCTCATCCTAAATATATGCAATTTTTTAAATACATTCGTATATGAATGAAAGTATTTTTAATAATATAGTACACAGCTAAATTGGCATTAAAAGCAGTATTTTCACTTGTTGAAGGGAAAAGTGCTACATTACAAACAATTGGTTTTAGCCAGCTATATTTTTATAACTATTTTTAACAACACTTTTTGTTCGAAAATGAAAAAAAATAATAAATTGCAAAGATTAAAAATGAGTGCGATGACAAAACCTTTAATTTGTGAGAAACAAAAAAACTTTTATTCTGAAATTAATTTTCATAACGATCTAGATATTGAAAAACTTTTGTCTTTAAAGAGAAAATTTTTTTTATTGTTCTTTTAAGCAAATCAGAATTGAAGTTTTTGCAAAGCTATATGTGGAATAAATATTAGAAGAAGCCAAGAATTAAAACATACATAAAATGTCAGCATCTATATATTAAATAACTTCATTGTGGTATTCAATAATCTAGAAAATATCAAGAAACTACACAAAATCAAAAAATTTTAATATTTCTTTCACGAACTATAATAAAGAAATAATTTAATAAATTTTCATAAGACTCCCTAAAACCCATATTATTCGGTTTGAATCCTAATAAAATTGAAGAATTTCATTGAAAATATGTAATCATATAAATGTGTACATATATACATAATTATATATATATGTATGTTATATGTATATATAAAGAGCTTTAAATTAGGGGCATTAATTTCCACTAAAATATAAAAGAAAATATTTATTAATCGCTATATAAAATGTCTTTCTAAACTTTTCCAATTTAAAGTTTAAAAAGTATATTAAAATTTTGATTATACCCTAGTCAATGTTCATTTACATATATATATATATATATATATATATATATATATATATATATATATGTAATAAATCATATATAAAAACTAAAAATTCTCCCCCATAAATAATTTAAAAAATACTAGAAATCTTTTGTTATATATAATATCAAAATAAATAAATCTGTATAACAGTTTGTATAATTGTAATATAAAAATCTTAAAATTTAATTTTTATATAATAGAAAACAAAAAGTTGGCAGAACTGATTTTAAGTTCTTTAAGAAATAATGGTTGATGGCAATAGAGAAGGAAATAACTTTGTAATTAATCAAATTAATAAAGGATATTCACTTCACTAAAATATTTTCTTAATTGAAATGTTTTTAACCTTAAGTTGACATGTTTTTTAAAATAATAATTTTTATTTATAATTCTTAAGTATTTTTTGAAAAGTATTAAGCTCTACCAAACAGTTTTATTATTTAAATTGAAATTCAAGTAACTTTTATTTCTTCATATTTCTACTAAATATAATTAAAAGCATTAATTTCACTTTAGTTATTTTATAATTTGCTGTATTTGAAAAATTGTAGAATGACTTAATTAAATTTTAAGAGTATTTATAATTTCTTTCTGCGATTTGAATGTATTTATACTATTTCTATGATAGTGAAATTAAAAATGAGAATATTGAATTGTGAGGAAATTAATTAATTTGTTAATGTGGTTATACAAGGGTGAACTTGTAACCTCTCACAACATAAAGCTTGGGTAGTGCTAAATCGAAATCATCTACTTTTCAGCTTTCCATTCTATATTAATTTTTTAAATCGGTTAATAATTAGGTGGATCGCGATACACCTTTTTTATCGAAACGAAAATTTTTCAACTAGGATTTTGGAGTTAAATATTCATTCGTAGCCCTCCCTCTCCCTCCTGGAATAATTTGTTTTATGAAATTTTCCAATCTTTCTACTTTCCAGAGATTGTACCACTTTACAACTAAATTCATTCTGTATACATATTGTATCATCATTGAACTTACTAGCTGACATCATTGAACTTACTAGGTACGTGACGAGCCTACCGTAATATTGTACGATATATATGTATAAAAGAACTGTTATTAACTCGGGCTGTATAGTGATTCTCTTCTAATTTAAATTTTTATGAAATTCATAATCAAAATTCTGAGATGTGTTTTGTATACTCAAATGTTTCAATAAATATTGCTTGTTAATTATAATCTCGATTAATAATTCTCTTCCTTTCATCTTTACTAAAGGTCCTTATTAATGAATATTTTAAAAATCATTATAAGCAAATAAAATATTATTTTGATAATAAAATTTTATTTGATAATAAAATATTATTTTTATCTATAAAATGCAAATTAAGTAAAAAATTGCATACTTTTAGACACACATTTGGCATAATGAAATCCCATCGAATTTAAATATTATTTTTTAGAAAATTAAATAGATATAGCCAGTTTGATTATTGTCGTTTAGTATTTTTAAGAGAATAGAATTTTATTTCGTTATTTATAGCAGAGTGGCTAATCTCCAATTAAGCTAAGTAACTGAAATGTTGGACAATTCTCAATACGTTTTTTAATTCATTCACAATAAGGATTAGGAGTGTATAAACAAATATTTTATTTTATTGAATTGCTTGAAATTTAATTACTTATGTTTTTTCAAAATATTTTTACTATTAATAGGATTTCATTATTAGAATACAGTGGATATAGATAATAGGATATGTAGGATCTGAAATTTCTTAAATATTTTTAGCAATATTATACCCTATAGTTTAATTCACGAAAAATTTTCTACATTTTCCGTATTTATTTTCAATTTTCATATTATGAATTTTTTATACAATTCATTTTTCTATTTTCATCCTACTGCCTAAAATCATTAAGGAGGTTTTTATGTTTTTAAGTAAAAACTTATGCATAGCATAGGAAAAAAAGAAAAAAAGTTGAAAAACTTTTCGCGTTTTTGTTTTCAAAAAAGTTTCCAAAAAATATACGTATACATTTCAAATACACACACACATAAATTTTCTATATGATATTCTTGTAAAGGAGAAAATAAATAAGATTTAGAGAGAGTAAATAATTTTTTCCTTTTTAGCACTTTTCCAAGAATTTTTTGAAAAAAAGTGCTTATTAGTTTCACTCTGTCCGTCCGTCCGTCCGTCCGTGGACACTTTTGGATAGAAAGCTGAAATTTTATATGTACATAGATCTTTACTAGAAACTTACTTCCGTAGAACAAAATTGTTACCTATTTCCCCCCCTCTAGAAGTTATACCCCCCCGAAACCATAAAAATGGCCTTTTTTAACTATTTGTTGCAATGAAACCATAAGCATTTTTGAAATTTTGCAAACGCAGAAAGGCAGCGGCGTGCTTCACCTAGCGCGGTATACTATAGCTAAACTTTAGAAAAACAAAATGGCCGTTCAAATTTACCGTTATCTAAAGTCCTTTTTTTCCAAATTTTTGATGTCGTTTTTCTTCTAAACCCCTCCTATGGAAGCTTGAAATTTTAGAATCTTTTAGACATTAATAAATTGTTCATTTCGTTAGAAGAAAATTTTTTTCCATCTCCACCCGCTCTCAAGTTATCGCCCCTTGAAATTTGTAAAATTTGAATTTTTGACACCCTATATTTCCGAAACTGCAAGCTTTCTTAAATTTCTATAAACGCAAGAAGTTAACGGTAAATTCCATGATATTAAAAAATATAATTATTTTTCATAACTCACACAATTAAACCTTAAAATCGAGCTTATGTTCACCCCTCTTTATATTAATTTTTGCTTTATTTCAAAGACTGCATATATGGGTCATCCTAAATATATGCAATCCTAGAAATAGTTAAATATGAATGAAAATAATTTTAATAGTGTGGTGGGTATGCATAGACTGTATTTAAAAGCAGATTTTTCACTTGTTGAAGGGAAAAGTGCTACAATACAAACCATTGGTTTGACCCAACTTTATTCTTTTACTTCTCATTTTCTCTATGAAAATTTTATGGTAACTTTTTATTTAACCAAAAAGTTGTTATCCATTTCTTGTAAATTAAATTTTATATAAGTTTCTTGTTAAAATTTAATATACCTTAAGGTATCTTAAATTATTTATTCATTTTTATATTTATATATATATATATATATATATGTCAGTTGAATATAATACTTTTGATATTACGTTACAATCTTTATGATAAAATCACTTTAATACCAGAAAATGAAGAAATTTCTTTTTTTTTTCAATAATTCATAAAAGAAAAAGCTGAAATTCTTAAAAGAGAATATAGAAAATTTTTCTATTTAAGATTGGACCATACCGCACCAAAATCAAATTGTTTTTCTAAGGGAAATTTATACGTGAACACAAATTGTTTCAAATCCCATGTTATTTCGTTTTTTTTTTTTAGAATATTTAATGTAAAAATATGGCTCACATCTTTTGTCATACCGCATAATATTTATAAGATAAAAAAATATAAATCCTTTTTTTTCTCGATATGAAGTAGATATTGATTGAGCAGTAGGATCTATATAAAATGAAGTAAAATAAAACTTCAAATAGTGAATATAACAATTTTGGGTACAGGAACATTACGGCAATTAGGATCATGACTTTCGGCACACCGTATACATTATATAATCCAAAAATCTTTTGAAAATTCGTTAATCATGAGGCGAAATATGGTAATTATCCCCCTCTTTTTTAAATTAATTGTTCCGTTGGGCAAAAATCATTAGTAGGATTCTGAATTTTTTCAAGACTTTTTTGTTAAATCACACTCTTCCTTCAAAATAAATTTAAATAGATATAAAGATATTCCAAATCCTTTCTTTTACCGATTACTTTTACAAAAAATTTATCACGAATTCCACAACAATTGAGAGATATCTCTTGTACTCCCAGAGTACCGGATAGAATTCCCAAAAATAATTCAAGATAATTTTTATTTTTTTTTTTTTTTAACCGCCTCCTTTTATAATTTTTCAATTTCAATTGGAAGGAATACGGATTTTACAATGCAGCTTCTTAAGTATGTTAGTAAAACCGATGTGAATTTCTATGATGCTTTCCTTACCCTAATGTAATTACCAATGCAAAACGCATATGATCGTCTTCCAATTAAATTTATCTTATATTCTTCATTTCTGTATTCTGCTGGATTTCCATATAAGAAATAACCTTTTAAATAGAAAAAATTGCTCCATTTACAAATAATCTTTCTGTACTTGCCAGTATTAAATGAAACGTATCTTTCGTATTGAGGCTAAGGTTACTCTATTACCTAATGCTTATATATTTAATACACTTTTCCATCATCGTAACCGCTCTCACCTCACAATTAGGTTATTGAACACATATTATGAAAAAAATAGTGTACAATCGGGAATATTTCAAAATTAGGTTTCATGTTCATTTGAAATAAAATATACAAAAAAAAATGGTAAAATCTTTTACTGACAACTTCTTTTTCTTGTTATTTTATTTTGATCATTTGATATTGGGATCATTGAACCTTGTTTATTTTATTTGTATGTATGTGTATACATATAGATAGAAGGAAAAACATCCGGATAAAAATAATTTCTTATTTCTTAAATTATTCTTAAAATTGTTTTTCCGTATATGATTGAGCTGGTTATTTACTATATTTATGTGGTATGTATATCCTTTTTCCGAAAGTATTAAAAGAATTGTTTGTGTGTATTATGCATGAATTACAAAACCCACCACAAAATGAATTTATATAAGTGTTTGTTTTGTGAATAATACGGATATGATTATCCTGACAAAAAGTATTTTAAATCAATCAGAAAAAAAATGTGAGTAGATATTTTTGCCTCCTTTTCATACAATTTGAATTCAATAACATTTTTAGATTATTTTATGATAAATAACAAAAAATATGATAATTTATTGTTTTCAAATACAAAGTGAAATTATTTTGAAAAATTTTATTTTCCATTTACTACTATTAAAGAGCTTACCATTAAGTTTTAAGAATAAATTTTTTATTAGAGAGAAAATTAAATATGAAAGAAGTTTTCTTTAAATTAATCAATAAATTTAAGGAAGTGTTATTGGAGGATTAGATTTTTCTTCTTTAATCAACAGTAATTTAATTTAATACGAAAAAGTATGCAGAACGTTCTTAAAGATTAAAGCAATAGATTTGATCAAAACTCTATATATAAGACGAAAAGAAAGCAAGGAAAAAGGGTTTCAGTAGATCTAAACAAACAGAATTAAACACTTCAAAAATTTCATTATGAAGACTAGTTTTTTAGGCCTGTATAACAGTTATCCAAACATGTCTAACGATTTCACAAAAATTTCTAGGATATATTTGAGCAGGCTTATCAGATATGAAAATTTTTAAAACAATTTTTTTAAATTATATGGCAGCTAGCGAAATCCGTTACTCGACAATTACAAATAGGTAGAAAAGGAACAATATCGGAAGGAATGGTAGCGTTTGTTTTATTTGTTCTTGAATTATGTATGCAATGGAACGGATGATTTGATCGAAGTATCTAAACCAACGTTGAATGTTATACTGAGCAAAATCGTGAATGTTCACAACATAGATGACTCTTTCAAGTGATTACAAATTCCATATCAAAGTTATTATGCCCTCCAGTTGGATGTAGAATAAAAAAAGGGATGAAGTTTCGAATCGCCTGCTATGTGAATACAAGGCTTTGGTTCAGTTAGCGTGGCTATTTCTTATGATATCCGTTTATTATACTAATTTAATTGGTCTGATAATGCACTAATGATCCTCTGAGCCACTGTGAACATCACACAAATTCTAGACTGGGTCTCTAACTTTCAAAAATCAAAATCGTGCCAAAATATTTTCAATTGTGCAGTTGCTTTGTTGTTAGATTGTGTCGAATTTAAAAGTTATTTTATGTCCACAGTCAATCTGTTTCCATAATATTTCTAATTTTCTTTATTTTAAAATTAAAAAATTTAAAATAGCAATATTCAAAAAATTTTTATCTCTTATATTTTCAGATTTATGTGTAGGACTATTAAATGTATTAACTGATATTATTTGGCGTTTAACAATAACATGGAGAGCTGGTAATGCTGCTTGTAAAATAATAAGATTCTCTGAATGCTGTATAACATATGCATCAACATACGTTCTAGTCGCATTAAGTATAGATCGTTATGATGCAATAACTCATCCAATGAATTTTTCAGGTTCATGTAAGTAAAATATTTTAAAATTAATATTCACACACATACATACATATATTTCATGGAAAGATGGTGAAATTACTGCTTAAAAATTTTTCATTATTCAATTTTATTAATTCTTTTTTGAATTACAAAATGAAACAAATGAAAATTTTTTTCCATAAAATTTCAAATACAGTTTTTTTGTTTGCCATTGATTTTTTCTTTTCCTTACTTTTCGTTGTTATGATGATGTGATAATAGTAACGTATATAATGGGGTCAGTTTTTCATCATCTTGAGGTCAGCAGATGTAATGGGGTCAGATTTATAGTTATGTACTTGTATCCTAGTGTGATGTAGAATCAAGGCGATGTCCTTGTTATGTAATGGAGAGATTTTCTCTTGTTCGATTTCTTTTTGTTATACTTTGGTTGTTTTTCTACTTTGTTTTTTATTTTTAATGTTGTAAAGTGTAAAAGTTCAGTAAAAAGAAATAAAAATTCATAAAGATTTTTTTTTTATTCTGTTTTTTCTATTTGAATTAAATATAAATATGTATTTTTTTCTATATTATAATTCGATATGTCATTGCGTATTAAAAATAAAGAATAAGATATAGAATAGGTACGTCACATAAAATAACCCTTATTATACAACCCTTATTGGGTATTGGCTTGGTGTTCAAATATCAAATTGAGAAAATCCAGTTGGGAAAATAATATTTCTATGAGTAAGGCTTGGTTTTGAAAATATGAAATAATAAATATTTGTACAATTAAAAAAATTTGGAGCTAAATTTTCGCAAAATAATTTCTCCTGCCCCAATAAATATGCAATTTTAATTTAAATAGAAAAAAGTTAATTATCTTTTGGATTTTAAATAGTTTTTCAATTTTACTGAAACTTAGTCATAGAAATGGCCCTGTAATTTATTAGAATTAAGTTGTACTGCTCTTCAAATTCTTGGAATTTGAAATTTTCGTTTAATGTTCAATAAGTCAAATCAACAGTTTTTTTGTTAAAATTTTGTTAAAGTTAAGTTGAGAGTATAAGTTTTAATCTAATCGTCAAAAAGTTAGTTTTTCTATTTTTTCAAAACATCTTTACAAACGGATTTTTGTCAGAATTTTTTTTTCCTCTAGAAGAAAATTTTCTGCTACTTCTCTTCCCTTTTAAATTATCGCCTCAAAAATTTAGGAAAATTTCTTTCCAAAATTATTTTTCTTTAAAAATTATATTGAGCTACTTTTAATTTTTATTCTCATCCAAAAAGTATGCAATAACTATTGTATATTCTGAGAGAATTGTTTTTAAAAATAAGGTATACATTTACATTCGTTTGAGGAAAATGTGCTACTTTACAGACCATAGAATGATTTATTTTTATAATGCACTAACGAGTACGTGCATTACTATTATTTGACATAAGTTTGACAGTTATCCTTTAACAATAATAATCTCATACACAAGGTTAAAATTAAAAAAAAAAAATTTTTTATATTTACATTTATTTTTGTTTGTTTTTCCACAATAATTATTTGATTTTTTTTTTGTTTTATTTCAATTTAATTATAGGGCAAAGAGCAAGACGTTTAGTAATATTAGCTTGGGTAGTAAGTGCTATATTTTCAATACCAATATTATTTTTATATGAGGAGGCAATTATACAAGGACAATCACAATGTTGGATTGATTTAGGTTTAGCATGGCGTTGGAAATTGTATATGAGTTTAGTATCAATAACATTATTTTTTATACCAACAATTATTATATCAGCCTGTTATGCTATAATAATCCGAACAATATGGGTAAAAGGATCTGTATTTATACCAGCTGGTAAGTTTTTAAACAAAAAACACTTATGCATTAATATTAAAAATATTGAACTTAATTTTTACAATAAGTATTCAAGGTTGGAAAAGATTTTTTTATTTTTCCTTTTTATTTGGTTTTTCCAATAAAATTAGAAAAGAAAAGGACCAATAATAATCTGTAAATAAAAAAAACAAACATTATAATTGATTTTCCTTTTTTTATTCTATTCCAATACTATATTGTGGACTTTGTAAAGTAATGAAAAAGTTGTGTTTATCTTGAAAAGATAATTAAAGTTTTTAATCTCTTAAAAGCTGCAGAGTCTTATGAATTTTCATCTTAAATAAAATCTGTAAAATAAATTCTATGTAGTCGATTATAATTTATTAAAAGGGAATAGAGAGATTTTTGGTAGCAATTTCTTTTGAGACAAAAAAAATGCAAAACAATTTGAATAAAATATATTTGCTTTCCAAATACTTTTTGGCAACTACAACAGAAATTTTAAAGTATGCATGTAATGCATTCTATTAATAATTCTAAGGCATTTGTTATAAACACATTTATGAGTTGCAAGTAGCGATCATATGACACCATAATCCACATTCCAAATTACTTATAGGAATAAATCGCCTGAGGTTATTTATTTTCTTTAGAACCTGAAATATTGATTTTAGAAACAAAGGGCTAGTATTTTTCCTAGCATCTTTCGGTAAAGAACTGAAATAAAAATGTATTTTTCAAAAATAGTTTCTTAATTATACAAATACACGTAAATTTTCTCGAACTGGGCTCTGAATATTGAACTGTTATATGTCTGTTTGTAACGCACTTTACTTAAATAATGGATTAAATATGAATACAGTAGAGTCATTCTTATTATATATGCTTTGATACTAATCATTAAGGGGTTTCAATAACCGAATTGTGAAATCTTATTTGGTTGATTTTCAAATTATATAACAGTTATATAGTCGTTTGGATTGTTAATAAGTGCTCTAGCTAATAAAAGTGCGAGTCTATGGTACATATACAAGAATTTTATGATAGATAGGTAAAAAAAATACTTGACAGCGTATTATTTTATATTTATAAATTGTGGTCAAATCAAAAAATAATTTTAAAATATAATATAAATTCTTATCTACATATTTTTCAGCATATTTCCGACAAAATTAGAAAAAACGAGAAAAAATAGAGTTGACTGTGTCAACTCTGTTATACCCGTACGAATTTATTATCCTATGTGCGAGTAAATATGCCATAGCAGACTATGAGACAGACTATGACTTATGCAAAATTTCAGTACTGTGTTTTCAATATTTTTTAAGATATGGCCAAACTACTAATAAAGTTGTATGGTTGCTACCAAAAGGGACCGACTAATTTCAACGACTTTTATCAAACACATGGGCCCTACAAATATATTCGCTTGTGTGAAATTTCAATACCATAGCTTTTATAGTTTCTGAGATATATAGACAAACAAATTTTGAAGTTGTATGGCAGCTACCCGAACCAGTACCACGATCATATCCAATTTAAATAGGGTTCTGGCATTTACTATAATAAATCATTTTTTAAAATTTGATGAACTTAATTCAATTAGTTTTTGAGTTATCGTTGGAACAGACGGACGGGTGAACGGACGCACAGACAAGGCTAAATCGAGCTAACTCAAAATTCAATGCTGATCAAAAACATATACTTGAGTCTATACCTCAGACAATTATTTCTTAGCATTACAAACGGTAAGGCAAATTTAGTATATACCCTTCGAACATACGTTCGTACTGGTATAACGTTGAGAGCTTTTCGGAAGTTCAAGGTACTAACAAAGTACTGTAATTTCTTAAAGTTAAGAAGTACAGCTTAAAATTTTCACTAAATTATATACAATTTCCAAGCAAATCAATAAAATTCATATTATGTATGTGTGTAGCTCCAAACACAACAAATTTTATATGTAGAAGCAAAATTCTAACAAATGATATTTATGGATGATTTCAAAAAACTCTTAATCCAAATTCACAATATTGTGATGTAGTACAGCTATTAAAATATTCATAATAATTATTAAACCCTTAAGCATATTATTGAACAACGAAATTATTGAAGCGGAAAATAAATTAAAATATTTAAAGCCTCCAGTTATTTTGTAAAACAAAATTTTTATTAGCTATTAAGGTTAAGGTTACTTTTAATTAAAAAAGGTTATCAAAAAAAAAAAAAAATTACAAAAAATATCCTTAAGGAATTTGCATGAAAAACTTTTCTAATCTGAAAATAATTTTGAGACCTTTAAATAGACTACTACAAAAAGTGAATTCCAAAAGTAAAGTAATTTTTCGTATAACAGTTTTAAATACCACACGAATTTTATAATAACAGCAAGAGTGTACACCTTGCTTATTTGCGACATTTTTGATTTAACAGCGACAAACATGCTTCTCAAATCTTAGTTGACTCTTGGTTGGTTCTCGATAAAGAGTAAAAACATGTCCTATTTTCTAAGATTCTCAGATTTATTCTGAGAAGTTCTGTAGAAATTTCGCTTTCATTTTTTGGTAGCATGTTGTCAATATAATTTTGTCGCTTTCAATTTGTTTAATAAACACGATCAGTTCGAACGATTTGAGCATTCTGCAAAGGGTATACGCATTAAATTTATGCTCACGTTTATTTTGTTCTATAGATTCTAAAATTTGTTTTTTGCGATTTGTTGTTAGTGCCTACCCTTGTGTCTAAAATAAATGAATATCATAAGACCTAGGGGTTAATCGTATATCTTTTAGCTAATTTTCATATTTTATTAACGTGAAAAATAGAAATCTCAATACAATTAAAAGTTAATTACTCGTATTATAAAATAAAAAAATTCGAAAAAGAAATATGAAAAATTTTCTAATGAAGTGCGAGAATTTCAATAATGCAATTAAAATTTCGTGATGATTTCAGAAAAAGGAACAACAAATAAATTGTGTGACAATCGGAAAATCATTCCATGAATGCCAACGGTACAATAACAATAATTAATTTCACTGTCATTTTTACTTTCATTACTTTGTTATTCAATCGTACTCCTAAAATGCAAAATTCCTCGAAAACAAAAATTTAGAAGAGTTTTCTTTTTAATAAGACAAAAACAATTAAAAATTTTCCCCTTAGATCAATTAATTTCAATTCATAACTTTTCTAATTTTATAAGACAAAAATTAAGAACGTTGTTAATTTCTTTTGCAAATTTATGGCTTATTTATTGTTTTTTCCTTATTCCAATTGAAAATTAAATAATTACCAACAAATATACATGCATACTTTTATGAAACATATAAGTGCCTATAAGAGCATACCTACATACAATTAAAAATTTTCCTGTCTGAAAAACTTTTCAAGTGCGTTAATTTTCTTTTAATTGTTTCGCAAATGAAAACAAATATAAATTTTTTTTTGTTTTGTTTTTGCTTCCATTTTTTGCTCTCTCTTAATATTTGATCTAATTAGAATTTGAAGATTTGAACTTTTTTATATTTTAAAATATTCAAATGTTTCATAATATTCTTAAATTACAAAACTTTATGAGATCTTTCAAATATAAAAAGAAAATATGAACGACACTTGAAATTTTTTTTTCTAAAAAAAATTTTCGGAAAAAATGTGCTTATAAATTTTATTTTTTCTACTCGTCCGACTCTGTATACGTCCATTTGTAAAAAAAAAATTCATGGTGCGTTCGTTTAGAAATGCTAGAAATTCCATTTCATAATCGGTCCGTGGACAATTGAGAAAAGGAATTTTAGAAAAGACATTCAAAATGCTATAGATGGGAATTTCAATAAGTAATATGTAGGAGATTAAGAACGACTAAACGCACTTTAAGAACATCATAGGTTTGGACAAGAACCAGATGAGAACTCTTACTGGCTTCTTGACGAGGTACTACAGGCTTAGGAAGCACCTCAGATAGACGTATAAAGCACCTGTTGCTTTCTGTTGGAGGAAACAGAAATGCTCTTTCTGAGAAGTTATGGTGCTCTTACAGGCAAAAGGAAGGAACTACTGGAGAATCATATGTATTCACTACAGCTTATTTGCGTTTTGTCGAGCCTTATAAATTATTTGAAGAAGAGGTGGGTATCGGTGAGATGTGCTTCATGCATGTTTTACGCTTAGCCCTCCTAAGCCTTCCTAATACGGTAGATCTTTGACATATGCCGGTCGCGATGCACTGTTACTCAACTTTTTCTTAGTTCTAATCAATTCAATCGTCAAAATTGCTTTATCATTTTGATGTAAATTTATAACCCACGATTTTGATAAAACCATTATTGTGTATAAAAGATATTGTGTTAATTGATTTCTGCGGAACCAAAAAATTTAAAATTCAAAAATAAACTTTTGCAAATTTTAGAATAGAAACTATTTTAATAATATTTAAATAGGAATTAAGTTATTTTTGTTTTTATAGAAAAACTACGAGTACAACTTCTTAAAAACAAATAAATTTCAAAAAATTTTAAAATTTCAAGGATCCTTAATTTTATAGATTTTAGACTACAATGTTTAATTTTTAATAAACAGAATCACTTATCACTTTTACCTTAATACGGAAATTAAAAATTACTTTGTTATCTTTACTTAATTGTTATACAAAAACATTCTAAAATTATTAATATGAAATTTCCTTTATTAGCCCAGTTAATTAAGAATTCTCAATTAATTTATACTAAAACATATTGGATTTACATATTGGCTGTTAATTTAACAGCCGAATCGTGTATCTCGATTTTTCATCTCACCTTTTATTCACTTTCAAATCAGAATGCTTCGTTTTTCTAATGAATATTTCATTTCTCCACTAAGATTACTCATTTTTTAATTGGATTTTTGAATTTCTTTTCAAATTATCGACTGAACCTCTTACCTTCAAAAACAAAATCAATGAAACTTGTATGCATTTTGAAAAAAAGCGAGACAGGCAATGCGGAAAAAATTTTCTCACTCAAAAATTATACAAATATATGATAGTCATTTACATTCCTCTCACTTTTAGCGAGTTAAACAGTGAGTTTATACGATCGCTTCCCAAAATGCAAATGAATCACAGAATTCTCTGTATATGCTTGAAACTTAAAATATTGCCTTAATAAATTTCACCCAATCAACACATTTAAATTAAAATATTTTAAAAATTTTAATATAAAAAATTTTTGCTAAAACAAAATTTTCAGTTTAATTAAAATTCAAAATTAATATTTAATAAATTGATGAATATTTAATGCACGCGTTACACTTAACAACCTTTTTTAATATTTTATTCAAAAATACTGATAATCGTTCATATATACAGTCGCTCAGCTCAAAGCTCAAAAAAGAACTTAATTATTGTTTATAGTAAAACAGAAAAGTATAATCATTGCATACATATATTTTACCTAAATCTATTAAAAATCTTTCTGATGACTTTAATTGTTGCTTTCTTTTATTAAAATTGTCGAATTTTTAAAAAGTTAACCTTTAAGTTAGATTAGGTACATACATACATTTATATGGCAGATCCTTTTTATAAGAAGCTGAAAAAATAACAACCCTATTTTGCATCCCATTTTATTTTCCTTTTAATTTTAGTGTTTTTTTTTTTGTCTTATAAAATTAAAATTTCCTTTTTCACCATCAGAAATCAGCAGAATAAACACAAAGAAGAATAGAAAAACATGAAGTAGGTTGGAATATTCGTTTTTCTTAATGGCAATATTTCACTTGACATACATACATTATTATATATTTATGTTTAAAAAAAAAACATTTATACAAGCAACCATATATTCAGTGCCAGGTCTACTTTATATGCAAAGTAAGCATATGCAAAGCGGGCAGCAAAACAGGGGCACAATTATTATGTGCAATGTTAATTGCATATTGTACATTATACTTTGAAAACCGGGGGTGGGGAGAAGGCAGCGTTACTTTTGGAAACCGTGTGGGGGCGCTAAAGGAAAGAGAACCGGCCCTGTATATATTATATTAAATCCTTTATAAAACAAATTTTAAGTGAAATTAACAGTTGTTCTTTTATAATTTCTACTTGATGTAATTCTTTCTAATAATCTAATAAAGGAGTTAAAGAAAACAACCATATTAAAGTTTAAAGCAAGAACACGAAAAAAAAAATTAATAATTTAAGTAAAGAACTAGAAAAAAAAAAATAAAAATCTTGTTTAACTTGTTTAAAATTCAAATAGGCAATTTAAGTCAAAAAATTTTTTATTAATGTAAAAACACGCGCACTTTTCCTGAGGGTTATGTACACGTATGTATATATATATATATATAGCTGATATCGAAAGATTCAGAAGGATTCACTTTGAAAGTTATACTTTAAGTTTTATGAAATATTTATGGGTGTGTGTATTTGATTTCATATAATATTTTTTAGCTTAAAGTATATTTCGTGTTTATATTTAGAATAGGTCGGTCTGACTAAAATTTTCTTTTTGTTGTTTGATGCATGTGCTTATTAGGTATTTATGTAAATTTTTTTAATTCAAGTACATAAAAAACGCATGTAGAAGATAATTTGCTTTTTTTTCCCCGATAAATGCTTAAAGCCTTGAAATTGTTGCATTAAATAAAAAATTTACTTATTGAGGAAGCAATTTTAAATTTTTACATAAAATGAAAATGTTTATGGAAATTTAGAAAAAGTTAATTGCACAAATACCGAAAAAAAAAAACAAACGGGAAATTTTTTTTTAGAAAAATGAAGGCATATTTATAACCTATTCATCTCAATGAGGTTACATGGTCTAAGTGAATAGGAGGGGGGCGAATACAGTTGTAAATCTACCTATTTACTTTGGGTATTAACAAATTTGTAGAAAGTTATTCAGAGTCAATAAAATGTTCGATTTCCACCTCTAATTCTTACAGTGGTTATATAACTAATTCGGAAAAAAGTTAGGCTTTCAAAAGAAAACTACCGTCCCGATAAATTCACTTTTCAAAATATTACGAGACTGAAACAACATATCCAATCCGTTTCTGCTCACAACAAGAAGTTTCTTCCTAATATTGTATTTGGATCATTTTCTTCTGCTTCAGAAGACATAGAGTCAGAATTGTTAGATCATCCATAAATCGTAATATTAGGAATATAACAGTTATTAGTTAATAATTCCAACAAACATATTTAGTCAACATAAACATCCATTGAGAGACAAGCCGCAAACAAACAAAAGACTTTTTAAATTTTCGGTTAAGACAAGCGCTTCAACACCAAATTTTAAAATTATTCGACGTCCCTAGACTCTAGAGTTCCGAAAAATATATTTATAATTTTATAGGTTATTTCTCCTATAATTTTATAGGAGAAACTGGTATAGTTTATTGCTATAAAACTACTATAAAATTATTTCAAATGTGTAAAATTTTCAACAAATTTCATTTTCAACTCAAAAAAGCCAAAAATTTTTTTTTATTTATTAAAACTGTTTTCCTTATATATCTAGATAAAATATTTACTTTTGAATTTACGATATACTTGTAATACACGCAGTATGACAGTAAAACAATATAACAGTTTTAATTTATTTCATATAACACATAAATAATAAACAAACAAAATTACATAACACAAAATAAAATTTTTTTTTTAATTTTCAGAAAGAGCTGGCAGAAATAGCACTTGTATGGCATCACGTCGTGCTAGTTCACGTGGTATTATACCACGTGCTAAAGTTAAAACAGTTAAAATGACATTTGTTATTGTAATTGTATTTGTTATGTGCTGGTCACCATATTTTGTATACAATTTATGGGAAGTTTTCGCTCAACCACCAAAAACACAAAAAAGTATTGCAATATCAACATTTATACAAAGTTTAGCACCACTTAATTCTGCTGCGAATCCTTTAATTTATTGCCTATTTTCAACACAAGTGTGTCGTGCTCTAAAGTAAGTATAGGTATAAACAATAATATTATTAAGTTACAGAATATAATATATATATATATTTTTATTTTATTATCCTATATATGAATGCGTAGGAAAATTTATATATATATATATATATATATATATTTTAATACTTGTAATACAAGCTCTACATAAAATAAAATATGTGTGTTGGAATATACTACTCGTATGTATACGATGTGTAGTATACTTATAAAATTTAGTATTACAATAAAGTAAAACCATCGTATAGTTGAAACAATCTATATCTTTTCCTATACTAATTCAGAAATATTCTAATAATTTTATTGTTTTCATTTTCTATATTGTTTATGGCATTGTGAAACTTAACTTAGTTGAAATAAAATTGTAAAGTTGATAGACAATTTTCTCAATGAGAATTATGGTCTGTAGTTAATTACATATTTTTCTATTCTATTTTTGTTCTTATAATAATTTCCTTCCGGAATGCATAGATACAAGTGAGGAAGTAATTAACTTACTATAGATATAAGAACCTATAAATTTTCTTTTAAGTCTCTTAAATATAAAAAAAAATTATGTATATGAAAACTTTATTAGATCTTCAAATGCAGGCCTATGTACCCGGCACTGTGTTTTAATATAGGGATTATAGGTATTTAACTCACACATTTTCACTACATAGTAAAAAAATTACTTTGCTTTTCTTCTTAATTTTTCTTGTTATATAAGAAGAAAAAATTACATGTACATGAAAAGTCTATTGAGAGCTATTTGCCACTCGAAAATTTTGAATATCAAATTAAAAAATCTGACAAGATGATGCAAATATCCTTTAAGCATTTCCTTCAAATCTTATGAAGATGACAAGTATCTAGAGAAATGAAAATCTTGTTCTTAGTAGAGGCCTTCATTCTCTGATTCAAGTTTTTTTTCAGAATTTCTCAATTAATTTCGTTTTTGGCAATCAGAACTTAAATATTTCAAGAAATTCCGTTAATTATTCAATTTAGATAGGGAAAAAATGGCAAAGACAGCCACTAGCAAAAATTCGGTTTTTGAATTCGATATTCCTGAATTCCGGAAGTTGATAGTTTAAGTTTCAAGGAAATCAATCGATTATTTCCCTGTAAATAAGTAATTTTTATTGAAAGTCTTGAAAAATATTAAAATGTTTTGCCCCGCTGCAGTTAAGCAAAACAAAATGTTTATTTTATATAATTTTTTTTTTTGCTCTTCTAAAGTAATTATACGTTGTACATTAAATATATTTTCACCTATATATATATGTATATAATGCACATAATATGTTTGTACATAAATGTACAAAATGAAGTGTGCTATAAAATAAATTTGTGTTTTAATATCGGGATTAAAGGTAAAATGGGAACAATAACCTTATTTTTAACTATGTGTAGGCAGTAATAAAAATCTTCGTATATACAATGAATCCCATAATTTAATGGTTTATAGTAGTGATTCTATAGAATTGAGTATAAGTACCTAGCTAGATATAGGATAGTAAGGATAAATTCAATGAATTCTTTTAAAAATCTTAATAATTCTAGGATATTAACAGAAAAAAAATTGTTTTCTATAAATTTTTTTTTTTTTAATTTTTCACACGTTTTTTAAATAACAACAAAATTTAAAGTGGCGAGATGGTGCAGGAAATTAATTTGTATTATAAGGGTTTACAATGGAAATTTTTTCAAACCTGTTTGAATAAAATGACCAAAACTTTAAGGTTAAATATTTTAGTTAAAATTTTGTATTTTAAGCTTTTTTTCATATTTAAATGAATTTAAATATTTTTAAAAAATTTTTTCAATTTTCAATTTTCTTCTACATTTATTAGACGAGTACCACCATTTCGATGGTTTTCATGTTCAACATGTTGTACAAATCAAAGTAATAATAATTCATCACAACATCGTTGTACAACTGTTAATCAACGATTACATAATAGCTGTGATTCAATGCGTACATTAACAACATCATTAAATGTTTCACGTAGATCAAATAATTGTATGAGGCCAGCACGTGTTGTTATCGTTGAACGACCGAAAACAATTTTAGCTATGTCAGAAGTATGATAATAATTTAATTATTAATATAATAATTAATATTTTTATTAATGTAAAAATTAATATTATGTATTTTGTGTAATTATAAGAAAATAGAAAAAAAAAAAAATTAAATCATCACTAGTATTAAGTAAATTTGGAAAAACAAAAAATAAAAATTTGACAAGTAAAATAATAAAATTAAAATTGAAATTTATATGTATATATATATATATATAATTAAGCTGTACAATATATAATTACATAATAACACATAAATGATAATTCCAGTAAGTGAATGTAATTTAGAAATTATTGTGAGGGAAACAACACGAATTTGTTAAAAAAAGTGCGTGCAAGTAGCTTAGCGCCCCATCTTATATTGCACTTAATTATACGAATGAGCAATTCTTATTCTATAATTCAGAACAATAGCAAATTAATTTCTAAATTGCTTCACTTGCTATATGTACATAAGATTTGTGTGTTTGTATAATTTATTTGTGAAATCAGTAATATGAGATTATTTTGTTTTTTTTTTTTTTCAATTATTTTATTAAATTGTTATACTCAGTTAATGTAGCTGTAAGATTATGCATAATTTTTTTAACTGTTAATATTGGTTTCAAATAAGTTATTGCAATGTTAGCGTAAAATAGTCGACTTTGTCAACTTGATCCATTACACGTCAACCCGTAAAATTTTTCTTGACCGTATTCTATGTTACTTGAGTTTAAATCTTGCACTCCGTATATCTGCATTACCTATCTGATTCCAAATTAACTCACAGGTATATAATATGACAATTTACCGCCTCGCACTGTCATATAGTAATGCTCTTTCATTTCATTCTCCTCTATATATAGTAAAATTCTACAAAGATAGAACAGCTTTGGACTATTATACTCACTCTTATTATGTTTACACATATTAAGTTATCAGAAAAGAGTTAGCTGCGTTTAAAACGGGCCATTTTTACCATTAGAATCGGACCTTTTCTAAATTTATTTTACTGTATAACTATGTTATACTTAAGGACTCTAAGTACATTCTTACTATTTCAAATATTGTTAGATATTCTAGTTCCAGATATTTTAAATTTAAATTTTTGTTTTGAAATATGATATAGGTATAAATTTTTTCAACAATTAGTCGCCTGAAAGCAATTTTGATTCATACCCCATTTTCATAATTTTTAAAAAAAAAAGCACTTGCATAAATTTCCGAGAATAATCTTTCAAAATATGCCATCAATTTTTTGTTTCATTTAATTTTAAAGATACACAGACACTTTTATTGATTCATCTTCAATTTTTAATTCGATTTGGACTGTATTTTGATCTAGATTCAAAATTGTTGGGAATTTATGCTCTTGACATAAAGCAAACAGCTTGAAATTTACATTTAATATAAAAAATCTTTTCTCCTGCATATTTTACATACATAAAATTTTAAAATCTTTAAGAATTTTAAAGCTTCTATATTTTTTGTAACCACAATCTAGTTTCTATGTTGTGTTGCAACGCTACATATCTACTGAATATTATATTTAAGTAAACAAGTAAATGTTATACATAGATTATTCAAAGCGCATCAATTAATTGTGTCCTATATAAAAATTTTTTGAACCTTAAATGAAAATTAATTAAAATTAAATATTGTTATATTTAAAAAAAAATAGAATCGAATAAATTAATAAAAATTATAATAAAGAAAATAGCAAGAAAAAAAATATTAATTATTTAAGAAAACTTCTCTAGTCTTATAAAATAAAATTTATTAAAAATAATTTATAAATTTTTGTAATTTTTAAGAAATCTATTGCATTTATAAATAAAATATATTATATAAAATTCTATACAAGTATATAAAATTATATTATACAAACATATTTAAAATTAATTATTAAAATAAAAAAAAATTATACTTGTATATATAAAATAATTTTTTTCATAATAAAAGGAAAATTATACAATTAAGTCAAATATTCTCGCTTTTGTTTTCTAATAAACTCTGTGCAATTATATTGCTGCTGCTGTAAAAATTATGTTCCAAAATGCACTAATAAAATATTATTATTGTACTTGTATAAATGATATTATCATGTTTATTATTTAATTATATTATTTAAAACTAACAATAATTCTTGTGAATTTGTGATGTATTTTGTAAAAATTAAATGTTTTGTAAATAAATGCAAAAAAAAAAATTTCAACAAAAAAAAAAACTCATTTAACTTTGTTTTAATTTATTTTTTCAATTTAATAATAAATTTAATTTATTATAATTTTGAAATTAATATTTAAAATTAAAAAAAAAAATATTTCCAAATTTATAAAATATCATTGACAAGAGATGAAAAGAAAATTAATAAAAAAAAAAAAAATGTTTAAAAAATTATGTGTTTGCATTTTTTATTATGAGAGTTTCTAAAATAAAATCATTGGCCATCCAGACACCTTATTTATATTTTGGACCCGAAAATCGAGAGAGAATTTCATAAATTTCTTTATACGATTGCATAACAGATGGCAGATGATTGGTTAGGATGAAAGAAAGAGTCAAGGCAAAAAACATATTAAAAATTTCGTTGCTCAGACTGAACTCGGACCGTATACATAATAAAAGTTTTCGGATAATACAATTCTAACTCAATATATTCAGATAAAGAAATGTTTTAGTATACGTCCGATAAATCAAAAATTTGCAAAAATTGGGAGTTTTCGTTTATTCAGTTCTAGAATACTTCTAACTTGTAGTACGTTCGAAAATTCACTCAACACACACTAAAAATATAGATCGTTCGGAAATTACTGGCTGCAATAAAGTACGTTCGGAAATTTAATCTGCATTAAAGAAATGTTAGAAATGTAGTGCAGACCTCAAGTATAAATTTTGTCGTTATCTCCTGAATTTTGTTTTCTTTTTTAAATTTAAATTCAAAAAAAAATTTTAAATTTCAAAATGACAGATTCAGATATTGAAGGATGTTAAAGTAAGTTTTCTTTAAGTTTTCAAATCTTGTTAAAATTTCCATATATTTTGCAATGAATTGGAAGGCGAAAAGTATTGAGATATAATTTTATAAATAATGTCATTTATGTTATTTTCGAATGACAGATTATTTAGAAGCTTTAGAATTTGTAGACTGCGTACACAAAAAAAGTTTTTGCATATTTGTAGTATATTCTAATGTAGAACTTTCAGCGCAGCGTGCATAAACGAAAACCCTCACAGTATATGCTCAATTGCTACAAAAAACTGGTATATTCAAATATTTCAATTAATATCGACGATATACATACCACGTTTTTAAAAAAACATAGTTCGAAATTAGTACTATCTAGTAATTTACTATAAACGTAAGTACATACATTTATAGTTGTCAAAGAGTGTGATAGTACTATTGTGTCAATGTAGTTAAATCACAAATTTAATCAAACTTGGAGTTTAATGTTATTTGCTGCTTATTCTTGACAAATAAAAAACATCACCCTTTTTTAACTACCTTAAAAATGCTACCAGCTTCAATATCTTACAATACTAAACATTCCAACTAATAAGAAACTGTTAATGTATAAAATCGTTCAGGTGTATTGCAAGAGATTGAAATTCAAATAAGTGAATTACAAATTTTATTACTTTAAGGATTAAATTATTTTGAAGGTATTGTATGAAAATTTTAAAGAAATTCACTTTAATTTATAAGTTTTCATTATAAATTTTGCTTTATTTGCATCCAAATTGTACAATAAGTTTATCTTGATCATGTTGCAAGAAAAATCTATTCATTAGAATAATAATATAGGCCTAATGCATTTTAAACATTTTATTATGTAAAATTTTGAAGATAATTTATATAGAATATGATGAAATATTTTTAACATAAAAAATGTTTTCAACGAATTGGCCCAACTAAATTTAGATATAGAAACATATGAAACCCAAAAACAATAAAATATTATCTAAAAATTTTCAATAATATGAGAGCAATTTAGAATTGATTTCCATCATAATATATTTCTTCAGTATCATAATTTTCATCTGTTGTTGGAGTATATTCTCCTTCATCTTCAATTTTAACATTTTGATTTGTTTTACTATTGTTATTCGATATAATTTTATTCTGATGCTGATAATATTCTTTAATATTATATAATATATCTCTAACACTCATTTCATTTAAATTATTATCCTGAATATCGTCATTAGTACGAGTATTACATTCCATTGGAATATTTTTTTTACAATTTAATATATCAGATGAAATCTGCCTTTTATTATTATTTTCATTTAATTTTTGTTTAATAAAATTATTGAGAATATCTGGTATCGATGAATTATCAATAATATTATTATTTGATTGATTCTCAATAATAATTGGATTATTTTTTACACCTGTTGATTTCAATTGATTATTTTGTTCCGGTAATTTTAGATTATTTGAATTAGATTGATTATTATTGTTATTGATAACTGGTACATTATTGTTATTTGTATTTTTATAACAATTTTTACAAAATTGTGTACAATAAGGAGTTATAAAAGATGCCTGTTGATAATTAAGAGAATTTTGTTTCTGTTGATTGTGCCCATTGTGTAAATTATGTGTATAATAAGAAGGATTAGTTCTTGTACATGAATGCTGTTGTATCATATCTGGTGTATGAAATGGTGTATTAAAATTTTGTGATATTAATTTCTCATAATCCAATTTCATACATAAATATTTTAATTGTTTTGACGTATCCTCGCCAAAATGATTGATTTCTTAAATATAAAATAAATTTTGAATTTGATACAATTGTTAGGAATTTAATTTTTAATTTACTTTCCCGTAAATCTTTAACACATTCTTCTATAGTAGCTTCATTTTTCTTTATTAAAGTTGCCATATTATCTAAACGATCATTAATTGCTTTAAATTTTGATGAAGTGATTTCTGAAACTTTTTCCTAAAAAATAAAACAGTATAGCAAATTAAATTTTAAAAAATTTGAACTCATTAATCAATCAGAAATTATTTTTAGAAAATTTTTACTTACATAAACTACATGACTTATTGCTACTTTCATAATTTCCATACATTCTAATGATTCATTAGAGAAAGCCTTTGCATGTTTAACATTCACGTTATCACCGTGCTCATCGACAATATAATAACGTTGTTTGGTTTTATGTTCTAAAAATGATTTAGAACGATTTATTTTCTTCTGAAGTCTAGGACGAGAATATTCAAGTAATAAATCAGTTTCTTTAGTTTCCTTTTCATTATGATTTTGGCTTCGCAGTTGATGTCGTTTTAATTTGATTTGTTGTAAGTCATCCATTTGGCTTTTAATATCATTATCCTTAATTTTGTGTGATTTTTTACGAATTGTAATGGTTGTATCCCTTTCTGGTTTATCTTGATTTTGGTATAAAGTTGATGGTATTTTTATATGTATTGGCTTTTCAGTTAATGGTTTTACTCGATTATTACTTGATTTTATATAACTCGGTTCCATTGTTGATAAAGGATTTGTTTGTGAAAAATTTCCTAATTGAAATGGAGGGCGATTCAATTTTGCTCGAACCATTTTAAAAATTTTTTATAATTATATAAAAAATTAATTCTAAAAATTTTAACGAATTCTCTTTAACTGCAATTAGATTGATGTAAATAATTAAAATGTGTGGAAAGAGCCGATTAATTCATAAGCTTTATAAAAAAAAAATTTTCAATATTTTTATAAAATACAGCAGACACAAAATTCTAATGCTATTACATGAAATATAAAACTGAGATTTCTAGAAATATAAAATTTTAAAATTATAATTTTTGTTCAACATATTAATTGAAAAAGAAGTGATTTATTTGACCTGTAATGACTGACCGTATACAGAAAAATGAACAGAAACAAATGCAGGGGAACATCTCGTTGAAAATATTTTTTTGCGGCTCTGCAGCAGAAATTCGTTGCAATACTTCCCTCATTATATACAATACGGTCAGATATAATACAATCTTATTATATCTGATTGTATAGACATCTTAGAAGTTTTAAGGAAACGTAACGAACATACGAAGATTATCCGTTTTACACTTAATTTGCAATCAACATTTAAGACTCTACTGTCACAAACTCTTTTTATTAATAAAAATAAACAAGAAACTAGATTTTTATCAAACAAAACTACTTGCCGTACATTAAACTTTATATTAAATATATTTGAGCCAAGACTCTTAAACATTCGTAACGTGGATCAATTTCCAAGAAGAAAAAATTCTTATTCATATACTTTTTGATATTGCTTGTTCGTTTGCTCCTGTCCGAAATGAGTTTGATCGGCATCAAAATCTGCACCAATTCAGCCAATCCCGACAATGACCAAGACTCAAATAATAAATTTCAAAGAACTTCAAAATATTCAATGTCAAAACTGTAAAATCGGCTCAAGCTCAATTTTCGAAACCTGATATTCCCAAAAAAATTCATTAGTTTTAACATTCTGAGCTTAAATATTAGTTTTCAAACATTGCATACAATAAGTGGGGTTATGTGATGGCACCACATTTAACATACCGATTTTTCGGTGAAAATGTAATTTTCCATGATAGAAAGCTTTATTTGTCAGTATGTCTGTGCCAGTGTATCTCAAATTCTGCCCTCCTGATTTTCACGAGAATTTATTTTAAAGTTTACGTTGGAGATGAAACGATTTGATTAAATTTTGAGACAAATTATCATTTGCGAATAACTGGATCTCAACTATCGGCCGATTTTATATATTTCCGTATATCTCAGGAATTAATTGACAGAATTTCTTAAAATTTATCAATTGGGCTCTCATTATGAACGAAATTGACTGGGAAATTGCGGAGAAATTGGATCATCAAAACTAAGAACTAAATTTACATTTTTCTATAGGTATATTAACTAAAAAGTTTACTAGATTTTCATATAATGAAATTTGTATACGAAAAACATTTCTGTCATCATTGCGAGCGATTAGATGCTGCGCCCACTTCAGATTTTTTTTTTTTATTTTATTGTTTAATTTTGTAAATATTCTTATCATCTCCTATTAATTTTATATAAGTACCTTATAAATATAGAGTTGAGTAAATAAAATTTTAATCTTATTTATTAAAATAAATGAAACTATTCAAGACTAGTATTAAAGAAAGTCTGTTTAAGACAAAATGCGTTGACTGAACAAAAATTATTAAAAATTAATTCAAAAAACAAAACGTTCAGAGACCAACAAGAGATGGATGTTAATACTTTAAAAATAGCACTTCAAAAATTTGATATATTTGATTGTGCATTTCTTATATCAATTTTATTGTTATCAATTTTAATTAGTGTTTATTTTATATTTTATAAAAGTAGAAAAATTTCTAATAAAACAAGAACAACTGAAACTGAAACACAATTATTCGATACAAGAAATGATGAAAAAAATGTAGAAGAATTTCAATATTTAGTTGGAAATCGTCAGATGGCAGAATTTCCAGTTGCAATGTCATTAATTGCCAGGTCCGAGAATTTAATATACATAATTTAATTTCTGATTTTTTCTCTAAAAACTGGTGTAGCATTATTTCAGGAGTTTCATTAATTGGGTTATCAACAGAAATTTATTTATATGGAATTCTGTATGTGTATACAATCCCTACTATTATTTTGGCGGCTAGCGTTTGTTGGTATATATTTTTACCAATATTTTGTAATTTGAATTTAACTTCGATATATGAGGTTTGAAAAGTTTCATACAGCAAAGAATTGTTATATTTTAATTCATTTATTTTTAATGATTGCAGTATTTTGAGATGCGTTTCAATAAAAAAATTCGATTGTTCGGATCATTTGTAAATTTTATTGGAATTGTAGGTGCTACATTAACTAATATTTAAAAAAAAATAATAGTATTCTTTTATATTTATTAAAAGTTATTTTGGATGCCAATGGTAATTTACATGCCTGGTTTAGTAATGAATCAATGTAAGTATAACAGTTATACAGCTTCATGTTGCTTTTAAATTTTGATTATTTTGAAATTCATTTAGTTATCGGTATTAATATACATTTATTTTCTGGAATTATTAGTTTAATATGTGTGTTTTATACTTGCCTGGTATGTAATTCATAAATATTAAAAGAATGCCAAGTAAGTAATTGCTCATACTGATTTGTTTTATAGGGTGGTATTCAAACTGTAATTTGGACGGATTTTTTTCAAAGTTTTATAATGCTAGCATCTATAGGTTTAATTATGATAAAAGGCATTGTAAAAGTAGGAGGTTTACAGAGAATAATTGATATTAATTATGATGGCGATAGAATTGAATTACCGCGGTAATTTTAAAATTATTTAAAACTATTAAATTCAATCAAAATGTCTCCATTTATTATAGATTCTGTAATATTGTGTCTTCTAACACTAATTTTTCACTTTAGAATATTTATAGATCCGTACACTCGTTATTCACTGTCAGCCATTTTAATTGGCGGTACCGTATCATGGATAGAAGGAACTTGTTGTGGACAAGTTATGATGCAACGATTTTTATCAGTTTCATCAGTTAAAAAAGCAAGAAAAGTTCTTATTTATTACATTACCGGCATTAGTCTATTACTTGGTGTATGCGTTTTTAATGGATTAATTTTATATGCATATTATCATAATTGTGACCCATTAACAACTAAAGTAATTTAATCAAATTTAATATTCTCAAATTAAAGTGTTATTCATTTTGTCTTTAGTTAGCAGAAATTAAGGATCAATTATTACCATTATTTATAATGGAAATATTTCATAAAACACCTGGGATAAATGGTTTGTTTATAGGAGGAATAATGAGTGCTGCATTAAGTACACTTTCAACTGGTCTAAATTCATTAGCGGCAATATTTCTTGAAGATTTTCTGAAATCATATTATTCGAAATCATTGTCAAATTATCAAACAAAACTAATCTTAAAATTAACCGTTGTTATATTTGGTCTATTCAGTTTTATTTTAACATTTTTAATTAAAAATTTGGGAATTATATTTCAATTATCAAAGATTTTGGGTGCCATTTGTGGAGGACCACTTTTTGGTTTATTTCTGGCAGGAGTTTTAATGCCTTGGATTAATTCATCGGTAATTTTACAAAACGTTTGTTTTATTTCGAGATTTATTAAAATGAAAAAAATTATTTACGTTTTAGAGTGCATTAACTGGATGCTCATTTGCATTCATTTTAATATCATGGATATGCATTAGATCTCAAATTTTAGAGGGAAATTCGATTTATATTCAAAAACCTGTCTCAATTACTGAATGTAACTATACTTTTATTTTAAATGTAAATCAAACAGCGCTGATCCATGAACTCAAGTAATATTTGTCGATCAAGAAATAAAATTATTGAGTGTAAATAATAAATTTTTTTTTAGAGAATCTGGCAATCAAAGTATCTCATATTTATGGTATTGTCCACTTGGAGCTTTCGTAACAATATTGGTAGCAAATTTGGCCTCAATATATTTTGGACATATTTGCAGAAAGAACTGGGATAAAAGATTAATAGCTTCTTTTTTATGGAAATTAATTCCGGAGGACAGAACAATGGAAAACTGCACTGAAATGAGTTAACATAAAAATTTCAACATTATTTTCTTATTCTCACAAAATTAAATAAAACCTACTTAAATTTAACAACAAGAAGTAATTTAGCTAAATATTTTTACACAAACATAATATGATACAAAATTTCAAATTTAGAAACTCAAATTTTAAGGATTTTTAACACAAACATCAGACATTAAAACAGTTTCAGCTTCCTTTGATTCATCCATTTCATCAATACATTTTTTACATTTAAAGAATTTTCTTATCAATGGTGCCAGCAATCTCGTATCGTACTGATCAGGGTCATTTCTTCCAAAAAAGCATATTGAAATATTTCCAAAAATAATTGCTAGAAAAGCACCGAAACTTGTATACCATAAAAATGACATATGATGGAAAGCTGGACTATTATCTAAGTTTTCTTCTAGTACTTCGGGTGTTGATTTTATTGTATGATTAAGAGCAAAGTCATAGTGGCAATCCTCAATTGATGTTGGTTTTGTCGGGAAAACTAAGAGCCCAGTTGCAATATCTATTTGAGCTTTTATGCAAATATAAGTCATTATCACAAATGATGCCAGTCCGCCAGCAAATGCGCTCTGCAAATTGAAATTTGTAATTTTAGTTTCACATCAATTTTTAAAATAATTTTTATTATACCTTCGAATTTAGCCATGGCATGCAGACTCCCATTATAAATATTCCAAATAATGGTCCATTTGATATAGAGCTTAAGGTCATCGATAGTTGCAGTACCATACCCAATTGTTCGACAACAAAAACCAAAAGAATACTTATAATACCAAGAACTACAACTGTTGTTCTTAAAAATAATCCAGTTTGCCGTTCAGTTAACTCGAAACTGATATTCGGTTTTAAAAAATCCTCCAAAAATATAGCGGATAATGAATTAAGTCCGGTTGACAATGAACTTAGTGCTGCACTAAATACACCTGCAACAAATAAACCTGGTAAACCTGGAAATTCTGACAAGACATCCATAACCAATAGTGGTACCAATTGATCTTTGGCTTTAGCGAGCTAAAAAAGTTCAAATTTAAATTGAATGATTAAAACTTTTTAATTTCTATTTTCTTCTTTTTTACTTTTGTCGTTAATGGATCACATTTATGATATTTGGCAAATATTAGCATTCCGTTATAAAATGTACAACAATATAAAAATACTAGGCCAAAGGTAAATATGCATAATGCATGTTTAGCCGATTGAGTTGATGGCAAGGCTAAAAAACGTTGTGTCATCACTTGATTGGTTGCCACAGCTTGTGTCCAATATAATGTTCCTCCAATATAAACAGACCAAATACTTAATCGAACTGATGGATCAAATGTTACTCTAAAAATTAGAAATGTACCATAGCTTTAGGTTCTAGTTTAATTTTGAATATTAACCTACGTCGGTGCTTCAATACGACCGCTTTCAAAATTTCTCTTAAACACTTCTCCAAAACCACCAACACCAAGTGTTCCTTTAAATATAACAATTAAAATTGATCCAAACATAACAAAACTTTGTATAACATCTGTCCAAACTACTGCTTTTAAGCCACCCTGTAAAAATAATAATTATTTTATAAATTGAAGTAAGGCAATGTGATATCTAAAATCAAATTGAATCAAATTGATTTCCAAAATTTATACTGCAATAGAAGTTTACTTACCACACATGTGTAAAAAATGCAAACAATGCAAACAACTGGTGTTACAATATGAATGTTAACCCCGGTTACTGAAATTATCCAAAAACAAAATTTAAAATATTATAATTTGTAATTAAATTAATCACATTTCACCTTGATTAAAAGCTAGAGCTGGAACAAATATCACAATTGGCAGCCATATAATCTTGAAATAATATAATATTAATTAATATTCTGAAAAAAGCAAGAGATATGTATCTTACCACAGCGAATGTAAACAGGATGGAGCCAAATAAACGGATTGTTTTATCAAATCGTAACTCAAGATACTGAAATCAAAATTTAGAATACATAAAAATAAAAAAAATTTAATTATAGTAGAATAAAATTTCAAATATTTTAATTCTTAAAATTTTATAGCTTAAAATAACCAAATTTTACACTTACATCTCTTGTCCAAATTTCTTGTATTTAGATAGCTTAAAATGAAAGTGACCAGATAAATTTTGAACATAGTCTTTATTACTTAAATCATTTAAAATATACAAAATTGTATGTACATATAAAAATAATTATTTGATCATAATCTGAAAAGTTTTAATTGAAAATATTCAGGTATACTTGTTTGATCGGAATGAAAAGAGAAATACCATGTTCACACCACAACGAATAACACGCTATTTTCGAATAACATGTTATACATAGTAGTTTTTACAAATTTGTTCGTCAATAAACGTGTCTATTTATGTTTTCCGTAATGGGTTAAATTATTTGCTTTTATTATGCAGTTTCAAGAAATTTCCAGCGAAATTTGAATAAAATGTGCTTATTAAGTTTTCATCTCTCCGTGTGTCTGTTAACTTCTATACCCTTTATCACAGAAAATCACCAATAAGTAAAGGAAAAACAAGGGAAATATGTCTATTCCATTCTCTATAACAGATTCAACAGTTATAGTTCAGTATTAAATCAACTAAATATTTGAATACCTCTAACAACTTAAGTTGTTGTTTAAGGGTATTATGCTATACTTTACAAACCATCAATTTAACATTAAATTTAATATTGTACATTCTTAATGTGCTTAAAATTTTCATTTAAAATATAAAGTTGTTTGTTTTTAAAAAATTATTCTCAGAATTCTTTGAAGAATGCATGTTATTAAGAATATCATGAGAGTAAAAAATTTCTAAAAAGAGCAAAGAAAAATAAAATTGCCAATTACTGTCACACATACTTTAGAATTTTCAACAATCTTCCGCTTTAAAAATTGAGTATTATTCGAAGAAGTATAGTATTTTATACAACATTATAATACATGTTTTGGTACATGTTGGATAATAACATGTTGTTAACCAAAGTTCTTCTCTACAAAATTTTTACAAGTAACTCAGAGGGTTACCAGAAATCAAAATAATACTTTTTAATTATTTGAAATTGCAATTTAGAATGCATGTCAAAGATGTCAGTATAAGCGACATGACTGAATGATGTCAACATCTCTGTAAACAAGGTACTTATACGATTTCGAGATGAAGCTAATTATATTTGCGAGTGTAATTTTTATTGTAAAATTTAAATTTATGGAAGGTTTTTAAATAATTCTAGAATAAAGTATTTCAAAATTAAAAAATGTAATTAATATTTTTAGAAAATTATTATATTTTTATAGCAAATTCAAAATTGGATCATGTGTAAGTAAAGGAATAAATTCTGTAAATAAATTAATTTTTATAAATGCATATACAACATGGCACAGAACTGGTGTGAATGTTTGGATGGTGGATAATTCCTTAAATTTTTTTTGGGTATGACGAGTAATTTTCGAGGATTAAAAAATCAGATTGAAAAACTCAGTTCGTTGACGATATTATAAATATTTTCATAATATCGCCAAAGCTGTTGTAATAAGAGCATTCTGTTGTTCTCAATTTTTTTCTCAATTAATAAACCTACATTACAGTAACCGGTATTGCTGATATCACACTAATCAATTTCGAGAAATAATTGCTTAAACATAAAATTTTGAGAAAAAAATCCAAGGAATCACCTCTCAAGAAATTAACACTAGTTCCGGACTACCCTGTAACACAATGAGACAAATTTTAATATTGTGATTTTTCACATTTCTTAGAAAAAAGTCAAAGAATAACATAACAAAAATACTAAAAATGTATTTCATCCGAATATATAATAGCGTCGAGACATTAAAATTTTAATTTTATTTAATTTAAACTATTGATTTAATTTAATATTTTCATTATGATCGTTATTCCCATTATGGTTTTCATGATTTTCCATTTTATCATCAGCTGTAATAATAGTTTGCATTTCTTTAATTCCAGATCTTATGCTAAAGTATTCTTTAGTTTTAATATATTTTCTTATGACTGGAGAAAACAGAATTGGATCCATATCTTCAGTGTTAGCAAAACCAAAAACTAATGTTGATAAACAACTGCATACAATTGTTGTTATGCAACCAAATACAGTATAGAACATAAAAGACATGTGATAAAATGGTTTCTCCAAATTACTATTGAAAAAAAAAGTATTCAAAAAAATATGAAAGGAATTAAATCACATATTTTGCTAATTTATAATTACATGATAGAACGAAATTAATATTATAAAATACATACTCAATAAATGCATCATCTGAATGTATTGGACTCGTATAGTTATGTAGATAATTACAACCTTCAACTGATGTTGGTTTTGTTGGAAAAACTAATTTTCCAGTTGCCATATCGATTTGTGCTCGTATCGCAACATAACCCATTAAAATAAATGATATAACACCGCCGAATAAAGCACTCTATAAAATTTCACAAAATTTAACAATTTGTAATTTTAAAATTTCATTATAATTTACCCTTCCATTGACCCATGGCAATAGAACACCAACGAAAAAAACTCCTAGTAATGGACCATTTGTTAAAGCACCCATTGTTGCTGATAATTGTAAGACCATTCCTAATCTTTCAACAACAAAAACTAAAGCAACACATACAATACCACAAAGGACAACAGCAGTTTTCATAAAAATTTCTGTTTGACGTTCTGTTAATGGTGTTTTTCGATATGGTTTAACAAAATCTTCTAAAAATACTGCAGTTAATGAATTTAATCCTGTTGATAATGAACTTAATGCTGCACTAAATACTCCAGCTACAAATAAACCCGGCATACCAGGAAATATTCCTAAAATATCCATAACCAATAATGGTACCAATTGATCATGGGCTTTAGCTAACTTATTTTGAAAAAAGAAAAATATTAGTTAAAAAAGCCATACGATTTTAATCAAAAATCAATACGATTAAATTAAAATCAATACGATTTTATTTAAAAAATTTAGAAAATGCATCTTACCTTTGTTTTTAAAGGATCACATTGATGATATGTTGCATAAATTAATAAACCGTTGTATATACAAAAACTATATAAAACTATTAAACCTATAACGAATATAATTAAAGCGTGACGTGCTTTTTTTAAATTTGGTAAAGCTAAAAAACGTTGCATCATAACTTGATTTGCACAAGTATTTTGTAACCAATGTACTGTACTACCAATAAATACTGACCATACAGAATACCTGGTTGTATGGTCCATTGTAAAACTTTAAAAGAAAAACCGAATATTTAATAGTTAATTTTTAGAGTAATTTAAATTAATAATATGTATGCTTACTGAGGACCCTCTAACCGTCCACTTCCATAATTTAAATTAATTACTTCACTTAAACCACCAACATTCATTGTTCCTTTAATAATAACTAAAATCATTGAACCATACATTATAAAACTTTGTAGAACATCAGTCCATACAACTGCTTTTAAACCACCCTGTTATACAACATGCAAATAAGAAAAAAAAATATGAAATTTAAAGTCTAAAACGCTCTCGTATGCCGCATATACTAACCACACAGGTATAGAAGATGCAAACAACACACACCACCGGAGTTATTATGTGTATATTGATTCCTGTGACTAAAAAAAAAATAGACAAATTACTGTTGTAACATATATGCACGCATAACACATTAGTGTTGTGATAAATAATATATACCTTGATTGAAAGCTAATGCTGGCACATATATTACAATGGGTAACCACAGCATCTGCAAAATATAGATGAATGTTAGATTTAGCAATTACTTTAGTAAAATTTTTCGTTAACACAATTTACCGTTCCAATTACAAAAAGCATTGAACCAAGTAGTCGTATCCTTTTGTCAAATCTCATTTCAAAGTACTGAAATTTAAAAAAAAAGAATTAATTAATTTGATATATGTATGTATAAACGTCACAGTGTTGTAAAAGTTTAATTTTAATTGCTTTATATTGCAAATCATGAATTTTGTTAAGTACATACATTTTTAAATATAAGGGTGTGTGCGTGCATAAACAAATTAAAATTTAAAGTAATTTCAAATTCAATTCAATCAGATCAAAAGGTTAAAAATAGGTAGTGTAGGTGAGCAATTAAGTAAAACAACAAATCAATAATTTTAAATTTACCTTATATTTCGCCAATCAAAATGCAAACATACATTCACATAAATAACACTAAATTATTGCATATACATAAATACATACACGTTATTGTTATTTTTAATAAAAATGTTTAATTTCAGATTATTTCTATAAAAAATTCAATATTTTATTTTTTACTTACCCCTAAATTAAATTTAACTCTCGTAACGTCTTCATAATTCATAATAAATTATATCCGATACCTAAAAATTCACCACACACATTTGATAAGCACTCAACAAAATAAGTACTCAATAACAGCAATAAAATCGATCGTATTAACTTTCTGAAACCGGCTCTAATAAATGCGTTAGTAGCCTTATGAGACTTTATGTTCTACAATCTAATACTGCATCTTAGTTGTATTAGTGTTTTCAAACTAATAACAAGACGCAGACGAAACAATCTCGTTATTTGTACGAAATTCGAATAATGCCTTTTATTATAATTTAGTAATTTCGGCTAAATTCGGCCAAATATAATCCCAACAAAATTTACCTTTGCAATATTTCAATATTGTGTCTTGAGTTATTTAACGGACATAATGCAATTGAGATTTTGTCGAAGGCATTATAAAAGCTTGTGAAATACATATAATTTTTCTTTTAAATTTCGCGCAGTTATAACATTTATTTGAGCGAAATTTCTTTGTGATAACCTGAATATTTTTAGAAATTTTACTTTTTAAACAGTGGGTAGTGATAATTTTCTAAACCTCAGTGTCTCAGTTAGCTGCGAGTATCAATTTAGTGAAAAATTAATTTGTCAGTCTAAATATTAGTTTTTCGGCTCTTGTCTACAGTGTCATAACATGCTTTTATGAACAATTTCTAACTTTAATATTTGATTTTATGATTATCATAACTTTATTATTTTGCATAGATTATTTATAATTATTAATGCATGTAAACCAAATTTCACATCTTATTCCATGATTTTATGAAATTTTTAAAATCTATTATCATATATAACATTATTTGAAGTGGTTTGATATTTAACATTTTGTAGAAGCATCCATAAATAATTTATATATTTCAAATTTTTTTTAAATATTTTCACAGCGAACATTGCATTATGTAAATTTTAAATAAATTTTGTTCTATTTGAATATTATTTTTTCTTATAGTACTGTAAAATAAAATCAAAACAATTTTTAATCAAAATTATTAACTTTATATTCTGAGATCACATTAATTTAAATAAATTTCGACAGTAATTTATTACTTCAAAACATATAAATCAAACGAGAGAGATTTTCTTTTACTGTTGACACATTCATCTTTAGGATATATGTGCGCCTATATTTAATAAATAATAATAATACACGGAAAATTTTAATTTATATGTGTACGTCAAGTAAAAAAATTCATGAAAATGTATGTACACAATATGTAAAACGAGATTACGTAGAGTTGAACCACTGTCAAAACTGTCAACTTTGCGTCAAGTTTACGTGTCAAATTCCTAATATCCCTATATGATAACATGAAAAGTGACGTTGGGAGTTGAATAAGAACTACCATAAAACAAGGTGAATCAAACCATCATACCTTTTTGCATATTACTGATATTTTACTCTGGAATATACGAGTAACTGTTTTACTTTTGTAAAGTTGTATAACAGCTACTTGAACCGGTGCCTCAATTAAATCGAAATTAAGTCTGATTTTGGAATTTTCTATCAAATTATTCAAATGATTGTAAACTTGAGTGTTTCGGTTTTTGAAGTACAGCCGAAACAGGTTAAAAAAACAAAACTAAATTCACTACTGAATTAGAAAATAGCTCTTAATCTATGCTGCAAATCCTTAAAAAATTATTGCTTCTGTAGTATTAAAAAAAAACATAAATATGTAATGTTGAGTTATTGTAGTTTTTTAAGCTTATTTCCTCATGTTATTTTTATATGTTAAAATAGGCAGGAACAACTTTTTTTTTTGTTGTATAACATTAACGCAATTACTTTTTTTTTTTGGCATACAAATTTTCTATTTTCCCAACAAAAATTTTAAGTTACGAGTACATGTAATAAATAAATAAATTTAAAGAACTTTGGTCTTTATTTGACATGCAACAAATCATATAGGGATAAAAGGAATACGTCAAAAAATACGCATATTATTGTTCGCTATCGCATACATTTGCATATAATGACGTGACTATAATGAAATATTTTTTGCACATTTAAATTAGGCAAAATAAAAAAAGAAAACAATGACAAAATGTTTTAAATTAATTTTTCTTCCTTTTTAAATGGTCATTGACTGAATTTATAATATTTAATAGTAAATTTTAGCTGGATAATGAACTTGATTAAAATTTTTAAAATAAAATTCACTCCATTTCATGAGAATATGACAGTTTTTAGGTTGTTGTTATTTTTATTTTAAAACAAATTTACAGTAACTAGCAAAATATTACATTTTAGTTGTTAAAAAGGTGATTTTAATTCACTATCCTCGTAAAATATAATTCGGAAATTCATACATGTATGGTTGAGTTACAAATCTGTGGCGATGCGATAAAACTGAAAATTTGGAAGAATTTCAAACACTTATACTAAAGTCGAGTTTTAAAAAAAGAGCAACTTAAATTTCATTCTCTTATTCTTAACGAGATTTTCAGGACGATTTGTATGTGATTATGGTATGATAACATTTTGAAATCGTGTTTTGAAAATTGTAATTCGCTTAAAAATTTTTGACGGACGCTTTTCTCAAACTAATTTTTTAAAAATATTGATAATGTAAATGTTATAATAATGCCTGAATTATTTTTATTCCATCAATATTGCTGGTGGAAATTACGAGAGACAAACTAATATTTTTGTCTTACGCCAATTATTAGCATATTAGTTGGCGTAAAACAAAAAATATAAGTCAATGAACCTGATAACTTAAGAATAATTCATTACAGTACTAAATATTGTTCGTAAAATATACTTTCACAAGTGTTACCAAAAAAAGTTTTCATTTTATTTTGTCAACAATGTTAAACTAATTTTTCAGGGAAAAAGCTTAAAACCGATCTTGTAAATATGAAATTTGTTCGAAAAGTTCTCATACAGAGAAAAATTAATAACTAAAATATTTTAATTTCTTTTTTTTTTTACATATCGAGAAAAAAAACTTTATCCTTCATTAAAATCTCATAAAAATAAAAGTAAGGATGTTGGAGCTTAAGTATGTCAAACTTATAATTTTGATTATCAGATCACAATTTTTATTGAATTTGGAATATAGTGCAATACTCGTATTACACAAAAAAAATTTTTTTATAAATATAGAAGCCTATCCAAATTGAGATTAAATCCAAGAATGTCAAAGTCAGACGAAAATAATGTTATACATTCTATTATAACTTTTATAAAATTTGTATAGTATAGAGTTCGATTTTACATTATTGTGATTTTTAAATGCATATATGAACCAATAAAGTATATGGGAGCATAGGGCATAATATGTGCATGAATATAGAAAAACCCACAATTATAATATCTTATATATATATATATATATTTTTATTATCCTCTTACTAAAAATTTTCCACGAATTTTGTCTGTATATGAGGGCAAAATAGAAAAGAAAAGTATCGAAAACTTTATTCTCAAAAATAAGAATAACTTATACCGAATTTAATTAAAATACAATGTGCATTATCTATATTGGGGACACGTACAAATTAATATTTTTCTTTAACAAATGACAGGATAAAAGAAAAATATGGAGTAGATCATATATTGAAAGTATTGAACTGGTGATTATAGATAAAAATCCTTATTAATGTGCAATTCCAAACATAATAATATTTGAAATATTTTTATTTTCTAAAAATCTAAAATAATAATTTTTTGATTTCTTTTTAATATTATAAGCGCTTTGACCTTTAATATGTGTATTATGCATAATTTTGCTAACCTTGAATAATGAATTTTGAATATATTCAAGTATATGAAAAGATGCAAAAAGTTTATAAAATGGAGTTGGTTAACTTCATACTGTACAAGTCAATAACATTAAGAAAATATTCAAATGTGGTGTGGTTTCAGTAAAATTAATATTTGTACAATAATTGCATAGAAATAACAATAAGCAAAAATAATAATAGGTAGCATATTGTAATCAATTAAAAGTCGTCGAGTAGGTTAGACCTAAAAACTTTTTTTCTGAATTTTAATAAAGTCTAAGGCTATCTTGTATTATTTAAATTTGTTTAAGATGTAGACATGCCTGAAGCCGATCAATATATACCGACCACATTGCAAATTGAGAATGGGAATATTATGGTTGCACCGAATTATAGAAATGCCAAACACAATATCTTTGAGTTTGTGTGTACCCCTGCGTTTTCTCAAGATACAAAGAATAGATCAATAGATCCAAGATACCAAAAAAAAAAATACTGTTGTGGAAATTTTTTGATCACTAGAAAGCAATTTACGTACTTATCTATAAATATTTATACATATAATTTCTTAAACTTACCTCATATGTTGATGTTAGCTGCAAGTTACAAAATACTGGTAAGAAGATATGCCATGATATAAATGAAGAAATTATGATCGTTATCAATAGAAACGCATATTGTGTCCCATAAACATAAATTTCTGTTGAAGTGCCAAGTAAAGAAATACCGGAAATAAAGCTAAAAATAAAAATATATTTTATATTGAAATTTTTTACAAATTAAAATTATTTTTTTTTTAGTTACAACAAAAAAGAACAACACAGATTTAAGAACAGATAAAGTTACAGATCTTGGTACAAGTAGTAACAATAATAAAGATTTCGAATATCAGCTTTGGTACGGTGCTGCCTTCTGAGCCTCTTCTTATGTTCATCATTTACTTATGTTCAATAATTTAAAATCTAATTCAATTAGTTTATTAGAGTTCTGAACCCTATTTAGTTTAGACAAAACTTGACACTAGTTCGATTGGCTGTCACTCAATACATACGTACGGTTATCACAGGACCAATATATTATTTTCCTTAATTTATTCTAATTTTTTAATATATTTTCCAATTCCATTTATATGTAGTATTCTAATTAGAGGGAGTCCCCTTGAAAAGGCAATGGTTTCTCCCATATTTATTCATAGTTTCATTCATGATTCTTTATATTTCTTTTTCTGGCTCTGGTAAAATAAGAACATTTTTTCCCAATGATTTTATTATATTATAAAGCAAAATTAATAAAGGTTAAAGTTCAGTTACGTGATCATTCATCTTACAATACCTAATTCTCTAATAATACTTTTTACATCTTTTTTTCTACATCTTTTATCGTTGTTTTTAGGAACGTAAATATTATACTTTACACTGTTTAACCTTGACTTTTTATTTATTATAATAGGCATTTTTGTTTTACAATACTAATTCCGATGCAACTAAACATAATAAAACCGAGAATAATGGAAATTTTATATTTTAAGACATAAACTTAAATTAAGCATAGAAAATCAAAAGAACATAAACTTTGCTCTTATACTTTATAAATGTTTTTTTTTTTTTTACATAATGGTCTCATTAGTTTATTTTTTTTCCCATAATAAAAGATACGATTATCTACATATTTGTTTTTCTCGTCTACTCACGCGTAAGCGACAAAATTCTTACACCGATTAAAAACATAAGCTTCAAAAATTTTTTATTGCAAAAATCAAAATGTATAATGTTGCACTTGTTTATAGTAAAATTCATGCAAGCTTTGTTAGTTTTTCAAATTATCTAAACAAAAATTGTTGGCACTGTATGGGAGTTAGCCGAATCTACTGAGCTATCTCACAGAAACGTTTGGTAGGACATATCTGGACGTACAATAAGACACATGACTGCCGAATTTCACGCAACTCTAGCTTTATTTGTTTTTGAAATATTTGAAATTTTCTTTTTGAATTGTATGTGTTACAAGCGCCATAACAAAGTTAATACATTCTTCACAAAAGTACGGACTGCAGAGTGTGATAAGATCAAATTAAAAGAATTTCAATAAATTTTGAAAAGTTTCACTTTTAAATTAGAGCAGTAGGATTAAGATTTCTCTAAAGCATGATTTGCATTCAAACTCCCTTACTCTAAAAAGTTCCTATAATTTATGTTAACTAAATTTTAAACAATTATCGTAAATTTTTTGAATTATAAATTTAACTCAAAAAAAAAGTATTAAATAAATTCGAATCCAGTTACATTGTTACAGTTTAACCTTTTAAATAAATTCTAAACTTTTCTTAAATACAAAAATAGATTTCATTCCCGTAATAGCACGTGTGAACTTCCGCGGAAAAATAAAGTATAAATTGCTAAAAAAAGCAATTAGAAAATTATTAAGTCAAAAATTTACATGAATAATCAAAAACCAAAAAAAAAAATTATTTTTCTAAAATGCTAACTAGCTTATATAAAAATTTAGAAATTCAAAAATTAAGAAAATTTCTTCAAAAATTCTTTAACCTCAATTTTCAATAAAAATATCTTGAATTTCTAAATAAATTTAGAAAAAAAAATTCTCAAATTTGATTTAAGAAAAAAAAAATTGATTTCCTTTTCCCGTTTTTATTTAAATATCCTATTGATTGTATAGGATTAAATCAGCTATTGATGAAGCAAATTAGAATAATACTTTAATTTTTCGCCATAAAATTTGAATGCACTCGAAAATGAAAACGAACTAAGTGTTTTTTTTTTTAGTTCAATAGATCAACGTAATAAAATAGGCTGGAATAAATCTAATGCACTTTATTAAACTTGGTCAAACAAATAAATTTAAATCTATGACGAATTTATATAGCTTTGGCGCTGAAATGTAAATTCTTCTAAAAAAATATGAATCGCTTCATAATTCCAGCTAGAGCTTCATACATGATCATATAAGAAGGTTGTACATAAAATATGAGGTAGAATTATTCTAAAATAGAAAAAATGTTAAAATGATCCGAAATTGGTCAAAAATATAGGCTATCTGTACGAATTAAGGCAAAATACTTTAATTAGGGAAATTTTCAAAATAAAATCTCTCTTTTGGATCACTCAAACACTTTGTATATTTTTTATATTTTATGAAAATTTTCTTAAATTTATTACATAGATCATTTAAGGAATAATAGTAATAACTATAAGGATTACAAAGACTGTTAAAAAAGAAAATAAAATTTTTAGTTGCAAACGTTTCAGCTCTTTATTTTTCTCACTAAAAACACTTTTAGGACATAAAATGTTTTTACGATTAGGTTATAAAAAAAATGTTTTCCCAAATGTAATTTCCATTTTCCTTTTACCCTCAAGAATAAGAAAAAAAAAACGCTTTTTTCGCGATTATAAAAATAATAATTTGAATACTTACATTATTCATTTTTGAAACTAAAAACTGCTCTAACTTAAATGTCAAGGTTCATAAAACTTTTAATATATTTTGATTGCTTTCTAAATATATTTGATGGAATACGTTCAAAGAAAAAACAATAAGAAGCAATTAGAGAATTTGATTTTTAAGCTATTTTAAAAACAGGAAGGTCTTCGTGGGCATTTTATTTAGCTTACGTGTTTATGCCTTATAGCATTCTTAGGAATTTTAATTTCTTATGCTTTTTATAGAAATTTTAAAGTTTACACGCATGTTGTTGGAAATATGTAAGAATTGCAAGAAATTATAGCGTTTAGTAGAACTACCGAAATATTCAATAAACCATAAAAGTCTAAATTCATACAACAAAATAAATTAAGTAATGAAAATGTAACTCAGAAAACACTAATTTTTATAACAAAATTAGATTCGAATACCATCTCAAAGGACAATTACTTTTTCATTCATCAATATTATTTTAAAGTTTTAATAAATTGAAATCCCTTGACATATTTTATTTGGTTATGGTTTTTTTTTTTCAATTTAAATTTAGAATTACTTAAAACGTTATGGAAATCTACAGTGACGGTCAACTGAAATAATAAAATTGTTTGTTTTTCTGTACGATCATTCCGAAAAAAATCTAATGTTGCCAGCACCTAACCAGAACTCAAATATTTAACTTCAAGACATTTGATGAATAAGTTCCGTAGATATCGTAAAATATGTAAAATCGGCCCAAGTTTGATTTCCGAGCCCTGATCTATCCAAAAAGTTTATGAGTTCATTATTTTAAGCCGCCCTAATTTAAATATTAAAGTTCAAGGAATTTAATTGTTAATTTATCTTTATAATGCAAAAATATAAGATCGGCACGGAAAAAGATACAGTTCTCGAGTCCTTTTCCATATATTTAAGCCATATATTCCAAAAGTTGATAAATATGTGTCATAGCAAAAATAAACCCATATACAAAATTTCATAGAATTCGGTTCAGCTGAACTTGAGATACATTCGTACACGCACATGCCTATATCTCCCCAAAAATAGCTTATTTACGCTTCGCGACCATAAAGAAGTGCGTTCCCACCGAAAACTCGACATCCGGAATTGGTGATATCACAAAGCCTCTCTGATTGTATGCAATGCGGTCAATATTCATTATTCTATCAAAATCACATGATCTTTTTTTGCATACTTTTGGGTGCAACAGAAAAATTAGAAGATGCAATAATATAATGACGCAATATTAGAGTTTTTTGTTTATTCAATTTATATTGAAAACTAATGGGCTTTAACGTTCTTTAAACACAGTCTATATAGAAATCTCAATAATTACATAAGTTTTACAATTTCACTGGTATTGCCTATAATTACTTATACAAAAATATAAAATGACTATTCTACAATTTCACTTTTCACAATTTATAAGAACGCGCCACTGATTAAAAAATTACGAAATACGCATATAAGAAAAATTTATATTTGAAATTCTCAAAAACTTGAACAAACAAAACTTAAAATATTATATTTGCAATATAACAAACAAACAAAACAGAAAAATTAATGTATAATGATGACATCATACAAAACTCATTATTTTAAAAATTATTAAAAGTTTTTCACCGTGAAATACAAAATAATTGAAAACTCTGAGAAAACAATTGAGTTGTTTTTTTCCAAAGAATTTGTTATACTCATCTTACAAGGATATTGTACACAATATACAATCTAATGTAATGGGAGTTTTATTTGTGAATATGAGATAAAAATATTTAAGGAAACTTTAACTGTCATTAAAATTTTGTATAAAAATGTAATAAATTTTTCACATATTTTACTTATGATGCTTGCGTACACATTCACATAAATTTTAGGCATCCTTGATTTTCTTTTAGAAAACACGTACGTATAATATGCCATTTGAATCTACACATCACATAAATTACAAAATATAAGCTTTTTAGGTGAAATTTTATAATGTTTTGTCAGAGAAAGGTTTATTTGAATTGTCATACTTGTTGTCATATTGTTTTTCAATTTACAAAAAAAAAAAAATTTTTACAATTTATTACCTATAACAAAATTGTGTTATAAATAAAATTGCAACTAGGATACAAAGAGTTCATGGGCCTAGCCTTGATAACATGATAATGATAATAAGGCATAATGATCTTTGATTTTCATCAAAGAAAATTTTCAAATACGAACAACATAGAAACTGCTTTAAACTTTGTCGAAAGTGACAAGTATATGGTGAACATAATTATTAAATTAATTATTTTTCAAATTCTATCTCTTATCACTTTCAACCAGTCTCTTCTCTTTCATATTTTAAAAACTGGAATTCAGCATTTTTAATTTTATTATTTTGTAAAAAATAATTTGAAATTAAATCTAAAAACTTTTTGAAAGTACAAAATTCTTAAAAATTTTATATATTGTTTATAAATAATTTATGTTATTAATATTATTAAGAAAATTCAAATTTTGAATTATTAAAATTAATAAAATTAGAAAATTAGGGGATAAGCTACTTTGAATGAGATAATCTTCTTGTAAACGTTTTCCTTTCTTTCAATTAAATTTATTAGAACTTTTAATTAAGTTAATTAAAAATTTGATCAAATATACTTACCACATACAGGGTGAACCTGTAATGTGATATAATCACTCGGAATCCGAAAGGTAGGCACATATTATGAAATCGGGGATTTCCGAGATAATATGGTTTTAAACCGTTCAGTTTGGAACTGAATTATCTCGGAAATAGAGTATTGCACGAAAAAAATTATTAAGAGGTTAGTTATTCCTTCTTTATTTGACTTATTTCCTCAATAACTTTTTAAGTAATACCTTAAAAGCCACTTTTCAGCTTTCTGTTCAATATTAATTTTTTTCCAATCGGTTAATAATTATTGAAGTTATAGGCATTTAAGACAATACACCGCCCAGCAACAATTTTTTTAACAAAATTGTCCCACTTCTCTGCCCCGATAGATTAAACCATATTATAGATTAAACCATCCCTTTACATATACATTTTCTGCAAAAATAAATCATATATGGAAGTTAAGAATGTAGGCAATGGACGGAAGTTGAAGAACAGTATAGATGAGAAAACTAGAAGAAGAGGGTTGGACTTGTGCAACGGCAAGGGCCCTATGGCCGAAAAGGAACGGTGCAAGAACGAGGCAGTTAGTGGCTTTGAGCATGGAGATCTCAGGATTGCGATAGGCATCCTGTCGGAGCACTATTTATTGGGAAAGAGATTGGGCATTTCCTCATCGGATAGTTGTCGGGGACACCCAGATATTGGGGTGATGGAGGATGTGTATCATGTGCTGTGCGAGTGCGCTGCTCTGATGCGGAGGAGGGAGCGCTTTTTGGAAGGATATCGAGTCGACGGATTGGAGGAGCCCTCAGAGGTGTCTCTGAGTGATCTGCTGCCCTTTTTCAAGGGTCTTCAATAGATTTAAGGGATTGGTTTGTGCTGTGGAAGGATGCCGAAGGGTCTTCTGCTGGCCTAGTGCTGGGTGGCAGTGTTGAGTCTGCCGCCTCCCCTCTCTAAGCTAACTAACTAACTAAGAACGTAGTCGATTTTACAACCATATAAAATATCGTGGTAAGTGAACAACTGTATAGAAAATAATTAAATAAAACCTTTAATTTAAAGACTTTCCAGCTTACATATATTTACTGCCTAATATAGGACCGGAAGCAAGTTTTTATGCTAGAAAATATTTTCTAATTATATTTGAATTAATTTAAATCGCGAACATAATTTAATTAAACAAAGTTCCATGTGATGTGTAAAATTTTGAATGCCATATTAATTAATTTTTAAAAACCAAAAATTTTCTTTTTACCATAAAATCGAAGATAAAATAAAGGACAGTAACCTTTTATATTATGGGATAATGTTTTTTTAATCTGATTTTTTATTTTTTAAGAACATTCCCAAAAATTTTTACTCCTGTTTTGTTTTTCCCCCTTTTTTTTTTGTTATGATAAAAGGGCCTTTATATACATATACAGTAAGTACTAAATAAGCATACTATGTATACATATTTTTTTATTTTTGTTGTTATTTATTTTATGGCCTTATTTTTTGGGTTTATCTTTTGATGATTTAATATTTTAAAATACTGATTATAGAAAACAATGAAATTTATTAGGTTCAAATATTTTATGGACTAGAATACAAACATCAAAATATAAAAGAAAATTAAATAAATTAAGTTCTTTTTGAAAGAAACCATTTTGTTTTTCAAGGAAAAAGAATGAGAAATATTACAAAAAGGAGGATTTTAAATCTTGATTATGTTGACGATGAGATTTTGTTTTTATTGAAAAATTGAAAATTTTATTTATTGCAAAAATATTAATAAATTTTTTAAAACTTTTGAAATGCTTAAAACAACTGACTAGAACGGAAGAGTTTCCAAAAAGTTAAAAAAAAATTAATTTAGAGTAGGTACTCTACAACAAAATAATGCATTTTGGAATGACTTAACCCATATCAATTTAAAAATTCATCCTTTTTAAACATTTCAAGAAATTTAAATTTTTACTGTCGAGATTTTTGATTAATAACACTTACAATAGCAAATTTAAAGTAATAATAATCTTAATTTGAAAATTTTAATTTAATTTTCCAATTATTTAAATTTGTTGTAGATTTTTTAATAAAATTTGATTTACATGTTTTATCATTCGAAAATAAAAACCAATAAAGTCCAACGACAAACACTTTTAAATGGAAACTAAATTTATAAATGAAGTTAATTGCAAAATATATATATAGAAAATATATTCACATATATATGTATGTATACATGCAATGAAATATTATTTCATTAACAGTATGCTAACCGCAGTAAAACCAATTTAATTTCTAATAAATAATTTTCTTTTCAAATGTAATGGATATGCAATCTAAAATGTAAAATTCTATTACGATATAAAGGGAAAACAATTTTCCGTACAATTTATTTATAGTTTTCACAAAAAAAATCAATAAAATACTTTGAAACATAAATTTTCTAATTCAATCTCATACATATACTTAATATGTATAGTTTTTAAAATTTTTACAAAAAAATTTTTGAAAAAAGATCTTGTTAATTTCACTGCGTCCGTCTGTCTGCCCGTTTCTGTTTACAAAAGCTTTCTACCCCCTTAAAGATAGAAAACTGAAATTTCATATATGAATTAATTTTTACTAAAATTTATTCCCGCAGTAGAAAATTTTCTCCTCCTCTCTGTCCTCTTTGCCAATCGGCCCCTCGTAGACCTAAAAATATGATTTTTTGACTGTTTTAGGCTGGTTATCGTAAATGCAGAAAAGTAGTGGAATGCATTTTTTTACCGCAGCACAGCTTTGTTGATCTTAAAAAAACAAAATGGTGGTTTCAATTAACAGTTCATTAAAATACGTTCTTTAATTGTTGATACCGTCTTTTCTACAGCTAATTTAGACGATTAGCTTTAGCAGTCTGATAATTTAGAAACTTTTACCTACTTTTAAATACCTAATTAATTTTACTAAATGAAAATATTCTTCCACCTAAAACTCAAATTATTGCACCTTAAAATTTTGTATTTTATTAGTCCCGTATATTTCTAAAATTGCAAACTTTTCCAAATTTCTATAAATGCAAAAGGCTAACGGTAAATATCATGCCATTATCATTTTTTCTTAACTCACTTCCATAAGCGGCCAATTCAACCATTATTTTAAGCCTTCTTTCAATGTTTTTGTTTTGCTCATCCTAAACGTATGCAATAATTTTATATATAATTTGATATATTATTGAAATTAATTTAATATTAGGAGATATTTAGAAACTACTAATTTTGTGTAACAGATTACTTTTAGAAGTAGTATATTCACTTTTTGAAGGGAAAAGTTCTTCTTTACAAACCATTGATTTGAACCAACTTTTAAAACTAAATACCGCAATGATAAAAAATATTCTCTACATATATAAGTATATATACGTATGTGCATTCGAAGTATAAATTTGAATTTTCTCTTTGATTACTTGACAATTAATTAAGGGAAACCGGAAAGATATTAAAAAATCAAATGAATATTGGAAAAATTTGAAATTTAAAATCGAAATTGAATAATTCGTTAAATTTAATTAAAAATAAAAAAAGGTTACTTACAACCGCGTGAGTGACGTTTTTAATAAAACAATAAATTTGATTTTAATAGATAAAATATTGCATTTTGAATTTGACAGCATAAATAAGAGAAATTGCCATCAAAAAATTAAAGTGCCCATAATAATAAAATGCCATTATTCAGCACATTCCCATGTATGTATGTATATATAGACATAACGTATATATATTTTACCATTTCTCTAACTCCTATTTCATTGTAATTGCTACTAATATTTCATAAAAATATTAAAATTAAAATTTAAACTTACCTAGCTACTAGTGACATTGATACAGGAAAAGTTTGCATTTTTCTACCACCGACTAAATAATCTAATGCTTCAGAGCCTCGTCTCGCTTGTACACCGCCATTACTTTTATTACGTTTAGCTTGTTTATTTTTTTCAACAAATCCAAAATAAATTCCAATCATAGCACAAACAACTAACATAAGAACAAAAACAAGATAATCAGCCCAACCAAATAATTGTAATGATGAACTTAAATCACTAACACTCAATTTATTCTTAATTGTTGTGGTTGCAATTGTTGTAAAATCTGGTGTTTCAATTGTTGATGTTAAGGTGTTATCAATTAGTGATGTCGCTAAAATTGGTATTTTTGTTGTTGTTGTTTGAATTAAATTTTCATCTGATGATTCTTTAATTATATTTGTTGTTGCTGTTGTTGTAATTGTTTCAATAATTTTTGATGTCATTGATTCATAATCATTATTTTCATTATTCGTAAATGTTGTACCAATTACTGTTGATAAAGTTGATGTCATTGTATTATCAGTATTACTATCAGAAGGTAATATTGTTGATTGCGATAATAGACTTGTTGCTGATTCTGTTGCTATTTCCATACCAGAATTTGTTGAATAGGTTTGAGAATCAATAGTAGTAATATCCATATTTGGCTTGGGTGCTTGTTTTGGTTTTTTTTTTAACCAAATAAATTATTAACCCGAAGTTTATTAACCCGAGGGTTTTTTTCGTTTTTTTTGTTAAATCCAAAGTAAAAAAAAATTGTTTTATTACGCTCTTTCAGTTTTGTTCAAAGATTGAAAAATTATCCTTAACTTAACACGAATAATTACGTAGTACCTACACAAAACGAAAAAGGTTTAATCTTATTTAAATGATTTTTTTTATATATATATTAGGTATTGAAAAATTACAGGTGAAAAATGATTAATTTAAATTTTTGTTGTTGTTTTTTGTTTAGTTTTAGTTGTGCACCCCTACTGTGTTTTCTTTTATCTTTAATTTTTTTTTACTTTTTCGCTTAATTAAATTGAAATTTGTTCTATGAAGAAAATTAGTTTTCTTTTTTTTCTTTTATTAATTTCTGTATTCTGATTAAGAGAAAATTATCAACAAAGTTAACTTGTAATTTGTATATTTTGCGTAGTAAAGAATGAAAAACGTCGAATTATCAATTAAAATAATAAATTTTTACTACGTAGATTATTTGAGATGAATTTTATAGGTACATACATTTTAGTGGCAAAAAAATATTAAATGAAATTACAAAAATTAACAATATTTAATATTTTCTTGATTTTAACGTTGCCCTGTTGATCTTTGTAAAATAAATAATCTTTATCATAAATGTTAGAATATAAAAAAATTATACAGTTGTACTCTTACTTTTAGCAGTAAGTCTAAAGTCTTTAAATAAGTTCATAGCTTTTAAATAAGGGTTTAGAAATTTATAATCTAAGGTTTAGAAATTCATGTGAACTGACTAAATTTTAAAAATTTTATTATGTAATTTTCTCTAAACACTTTTTAAAAAATTTATCAATTCATACTGAATTCGTCTATGACATATTTTCGCAATATACACTTATACATATTTAAAACATAGATCGTATACTGATATTAAAAAAAATCTTAATTTTATAATGAAACCCTTTGCAAATCTGTTGAATTATACTAAATTTTGTTTAATAAATATGAAAACTAAAGTAAATATTTAAAAAATATTTTAATATTCCAAATGTATTTAAAATTTTATCCCATTTCTATAATATTATACTACAAATATAACCTGACACTTAGAGTATCACAATTATAATATTATAATTGACCATAGTTTGTATTTGACCACGGAGATTCTTGCCGAAATTTATTAAATAATTCATTTAAAGTGAAAATTATGTCTATAGTACAATAACTCGAATTCAAACACCCAAATTCAAATTGCATTCTATATAATATACAAGTAAATATTAAAATTTACCGAACAATTGGCAATACTATTTTTTTTAGGTTAAGGATTATAGAAAAAAAAAAAATATAAAATTATAAAATTTAGTATTAATCTCGAAAATTTGTTTTCATTTTAAACTTTATTGTATGGTGATAGCACGTATAACGGGTTAATCCAAAGGAAAATTAATATTTAAATTTTCCGTTTTAAAAATTTTAATTTCATAGAAGGTAATCCTTTGCATTAACAATGTTTGCTTCGCTTACTAAAATATAAAATAATTTTAAAATCAAAATTTTAAAATTGAACTACATTCAATAATGCTTCAGTTTTACAAGGAATTAATTTTGATTGCACATTTATAACAAAACAGCAGCTACATATATTTTTTTATATAAATTAAATTAAAATTGTTTCTTAAATACAAAAATATTATGCAAGTATTAATCAGCACTTAATTTTGTAAATTTCTTTTGTTATATAACACACCCCGAATTTCTTATAGTCGAGCAAAAACTTAAATTTACCATTATTATATTTGATTTTTATATTATTATATGAAATTATAATCCAATTTTGTAAATGAAAACTATTTGAATCCAAAATTTAGGAAACAACAACCGTGTATTTTACTGGATGAGCTTCAATTTTAAACTGATTTCTTAAATCAGAACATAAAAATAAGTGAAATGAAATTTTTTATATTTTAAATTATTTTCATTTTATTTTCATAATTTTTCTGTTTATTTTTTTTCTTATATCATTATATTTTATACTAAATATTGGTATTTGTCATCCTTCTTGAATATTTTACGTCCAACTTAATATATATAGAATTAACTCAGAAAATTTTTTTTTGAACTTGTACCAACTAAATATGTTCCATATTTATCTCGTTTAATACGTGAATATACATACAAACACACGCATAATAATATATTTAAATAACTTGTAGAAATCCAGTTAAAATTGAATTAAATATAACGCTAATTCAACACAAATAATTCTATTTTATTATATGTGATAAAATATAAATAGAGTCTATTTTGCTGTCTACTGATAAAAACTGATATATCACAATTATCAACTCTTCGAAATAATTTGTAAAATTTTGATTAAACCTAGGAGACATTAAATTTTATATTTTATTAATGTAAGATAGTTTCGGTAAATTGACACTACCGAAAAATTGCAATAAAACACTACTCATCTAATGAGTTATATAAATTAGTACATTATTACTGCAATTAGGAAGTCATCTATTTATTTCTCGATCCCCGGCAAAATATATTACAAAAATTAATTAATAAAACTGGAATTATTCTCTTGAAAACTGTTATACATTCTCTCAAAACTGTTATAAATTTTGTATAACAGTTTTGGTTATTATAAAACTTTATTAAATTTAAATATTGTAGTATAAAATATATATTGAAGTACAATTATTGCTTACATTAAAAGTACAACACAACATTTAAAAATTTTGAGATACACATTTTGTTTTTACAAAATATACTACGTAATATTATTTAAAATTTAATTTTAAATATTCTAATCTCAACATTCTTATTTCAGTTTTTGTATATAAAAATGGTATATAATTTACCTACACATACCATATTATGTACATTATTATATATAACAGATTATATCCAAAGATCCAGTATTACGAGAAAATAGTAGTATAGTTTAGTATGATTTACGCGATCTCATTGCTATAAGAATTTTTTTTTTATATACAAAGTAATAAAATAATTTAAATTTATTATATTTAAAAATATATATATGTATACATAAATGCAAATATTTTTTCTATTATACGTTCAAATATTTATTTGAGCTCATGATATAAAAGTGTGAATGGAAACGGATCATAATCCGGACAGTAGAATATTTTATTTGTGAATTTGTCAAGAATATTTTCTTAATTTACGAATGATAAGAAAATGTAAATAATATAAAAGAAATAAGAAAGGTTAAAAGTAATTCAAATTTATTTTTAATTTGAAATGATCTTTTATATTTTTACCGATCATATTGTTCTATTTAAATAAGGCAAGTATTGTTTTCGGATCTACTATATAGTTTAATTAGGTTTTAGTTTCCCCTCGGAAGAGAAATATGTAACTTATAAATAACAAATCTTTTCGATTCGATTTATTTACAATTATTTAGCTGTAACTGTTATATAATTTATATATTTACGTAAAATTGCTTTGAGTTAAATGTTCTACATTAAATTAATAAAAATCATAATTTCACTATGAAATATTTAAAATATGTGTTAATCGCATTAAATATTTCTGGATTTTGAATGCATTATCTTTTTTATATTGATTATATAAATAAAATAAAAGAAAAGAATATTTTTTTTAGTTTCTTATCAATTTTGAAAAATTCTGGAAAGGGAGGAAAAATGACGTGAAAAAAATTGTTATCACCAATCATAAATTTTATTGCTTATACACCATATTTTTTATTAATTTGTCATACTGGAAATATAGCAATTAATAATTATTAAATTTCAAATACCAAAGATCAAAATGTTACTGACATTTGCTCAAAGATTTTCTATTACACATTTGCTATTATATGAATATTATGGAATTAAATTAATTTTGCGATAGATTAAGAATTTGCCATAGATAAGGAGAGCATAAATTGTATTTATTGTTTCAAAGAATAATTTCAAAGAAAAAAGTACTCAGAAGTTTAAGTACATACGACATACCTGAGATCTATTATTTCGGCAATTCTAAAATTAAATAAAACTGGTCATTCTATAGTTTATACTAATTTAAATTTAAAAAATTGTCCCTATTATTGCAAATTCTAACAACTTAAAAAAACAAGAGCACTTTGTTACATAAATAAAAGTGATTTCAGTTGCGTGCTAAACAAATTAAGCACTTAACTATAAAAAAAAAGCAGAATTCTTTGAGACAAATAAGCACATAAGAAAAATTTTGTATATAGGAGAATTTAATTTAAAAAATTCTCAGGGTGTTCCCTCCAAGGTGTATTGGCATATACTACCGTGTAGGTTTTCGTTTGTAAAGAAAAAAAAATGTTCCACCCCTGAACTCTATCGCAATAAGTTCTCGAAGGTTGAAGGCTCTAGAAAGAAAGACATTTTTTTTGGTTGAGTTTATTGAGAACAGGCTAAACACACAAAGTTCACGTTGGTATGTGCCGGTAACTTAAGGCCTTTTGTGGAACAATTTCTATCCTTACAAACTACGTCTTCGCTAGTATATGTTATTGCACCACTAATGGGACCCTTTATAACTTGTATACGTTTTTTATGTTTAACACTAAATAAATATCATTATATCATTACTATTTTGGAGAAATACATGTATTTTTAAAAGTAAATTTATTATATTGTCCGCCATATAATTGAATAACTTGATCTCTTGATGTACATATTATTTACATAATAAGAAAGTTTATAATAATTACTATATATCACTCAAAAAAAAAAAAACTACTTCCTTTATGAGTTCAAGTTCAAGTTGTTTACATATGTATAAGTAGTACATCTTAAAACAAAAGAATAAAAAAATATATGTACATAAAATACATGCATATATTTCAATTAAAGGCAATTTATGATATATGTACATAAATAAATCTTTAGTGTAAAGCGTATGACATAGCATTTTTCATATAAAGAATTTGTACAACAAAAGTAAAGTGTTTCATATGTGCATTATTTATTTTCTACATTTGTTGAACTACATAATAATAAATATAAAATAAATAAGAAGACAATCTCATTCATTAGCACTTTTTCACAAAATTGAAAAAACTGCTTATTAGTTTGACTCTGTCTGTTTATAAATCTTCTTGGCTCTCGAAGATAGAATGCTAAAATTTTTTACACAAATATAGCTATGCTACAGAAATTAATTTCTGTAGAAGAAAATATTTAAACATCTCTTCTCTAAAATCTGTTGGTCTGACAAAGTGCCAAAAATATCGCAAAACAGCATTGAAATGACTTTAATCGCAAATTAGAACAATTTGAATTTTCGGCTACTTGTATTTTCGAAACTACAAGCATTTCGAAATTTTTATAAAAACAAAAGCCTAACAGTCAATACTATGCTAGCAAAAAAGAAATAAATATTAATTTTAACTCACTTAGTTAACCGTCGAATTGGACCATTATGATAACGCCTCTTTTAATTTTTTTTTCTTTTCATCCTAAATATATGCAATATTTTAAAATATTTTGTGTATTAATGAAAAGAAAGAAAATATTTTCACTTGTTCGAGAAAAAAGTGCTAATTTACATTTCATTGGCTTGATTCGAATTTATTTTTATTTAAATTTGAAATTAAAAGAAATAGCCTCTTGACTTAAATTATGAATAATATCTTAAATAAACACAAGTTAATATTATATACAAAGGTATGTAATTTAATTCTACACACTATACACATATATCGGGCTACTGTTTTACTAATATATATTCATAAATACATACAAACATTTATGCATTTATACAATTGTTATTTATTATAAGTACATAAGTCATATGCATTGTACATAGTGAAATTTAATTTGTATACACATTAATAAAAATGTGTTTGTCATTATGTGATCATCAACATCTAAGTGTTATCATTAAATTATTATCATAATATACTAAATAAAAGAAGACAAGAAGCTTAAATACACATCATCAATATCTATACAAATATGTATATTATATTCTCACATTATATGGTCTTATATGGTTATATGTGTTCTCCTACATTTTTATAATAGCAATAACCTTATTAAATACAATTAGATAATTGCAAAATTTAAGCTAAGTAAATAATATAGTACTGCATAAAACAATAATGTTACACTTTTTTTTAACATACATATTCTTATTTACATATCAATGTGTGTAGTAGTTTACCGACACCATAGCAAAATTAAAGAAATTCTTTATACTATGTTATAATGATAAGGTCGAGCTTTTATCATTTTAATTTAAGATTTATGTTTTTTTTAAATATCTTCAAATTTATTTTACTTCAATTTTGTTGATGTTGTTTTTTTTTTGTCGTCAAAATTACTTCAATTTTAACTTCAACTGTCACGTAATCTGGCCAGCTGGGAGAGGATTCGTTGAAAAAGTTTCGATTTAGGTTGGTGGATATGGAAATTGCATTTACTTTCTATTTTCAAAAAATTTTTGTATTTAACAATTACAAATGAGTTAGTATTAGTGATTTAAGAGAAAAATTACTAATATTCGTTACTTAGCCAACTCCTATACTCACACAGGTATAACCAAAATTAAATAAATATACGGATAACGTCAACACGTGGACAGACATAACGGTAACAATACATTAAAATATCCATAATAATATAATAGAACTTGAACATGTGTTTAATAATTGTAAATAAATAAAAAAAATAATTATATTATCAGATCGAATTTCGAAATTTGTCTAATTTCAATTACAACACTTATGACGTCTACAAAATTCACCTTAATATTTTGATGAAATTAAAAGTATTCTTAAAAAATCGTATCAGAATCATAATTATATGCATTAAATCTTATAAACTTAAAGATGAAAATGTTTCCTAATAAATTTATACTATAAAATTACTTAGGTGTAAAAAATTTCTTTCGTCGATTTTGAGAGA